AGCCAACCGTTCAACCTCTCGAATCACCACCATTCTTCGACTCAAGAACCGAGATTCTCTACGATCATCCTTTCGCCAACCTGTACCGTAGCGTTCTTCAAGAAAACGAATGGATGGCCCACCCACAAGCCCCACATCATACTCACGCCAAGCATCAGTCACAGTGACCAAGTTTCGGTTCATCCTATAGTTGGTGTGGGGCTCGTCGTCATGATTTGCGCCGGATGCCTCATCAACCGAGATAGGGGCCGTCAATGCTGGTGAAGATTCCAAAGTCATTGGAAAGTTGGACACAGAGGATATACCAGGCTGGTTTTGGAGTTGTTCGACGGTATGCATCAATAACTCAGCAATGTTACCGGTTACGGCTCTCATGTCGCTTTGTTGGGCACTAGCGGTTGAATTCACTTTGTTTTCAATGCTGTCAATTTGAGCTTGTATAACTTTCAATGATGTCGCCAAAGAGTTGAAGCCGGTCTTCATTGTGTTCGCAACCTCTGGCATTAGGTTCTCCAGTTGATGATTGATGGAGAACTTTTGATTGTCCTCCAAAATTGACGCTAACGACTGACGTTCGAACTGGGAGTATTCCTCGGTTGCAAATACTGGACATGTCCAAAGATAATTATCCGGGTACTTTTGCTTCAATAAAACAGAGTCCTAATGCAAAAAGATTTAAAAGTTAGTGCTGTAATTATGAAATAAAGTTATTGTTATTTTACCTGTAAAAGAACTCTACGCAAGTAGCGCATCAACATCAAAAAATTCGTACCAGCGATGTCCTTTTCAATCTCCTTGGCATCGAACTTTGCCTGCCAGGCCTCAATCTCAGGGAAGATTGACTTCTCTAGTCCAACAGGAGGAACCGCTACAGACCTGGCCAAGAAGTAATCGCCATCACGAACAGTAAAGCCAGCAAGTACTTTAATTGCTTGTACTGGCAACGTCACCACATACGACCCCACCATACGATCGTTGCTCCATCTACCCGCCATACGCTGTTGGTCACTTGGAACGTTTTGGTTGCTCATCATGTTGAGGGCACTCTTTCGATTGATGTGAGTGACCTTGGACGAGTTGATACCAATCTCTTCAAATGCCTCCTTGTAAATTTTAACCTGCTCATCATAGGTAATGCATTCCTTGCTGCCTTTCTTATTAAACAAGTAGGTGTCATACCAGCTCTTACGGCTCGAAAAGTCGGGAAAAGTTTCATTTTCAAAATGGAACCGAGAGAAAAGGTGTACTGCAAGAGCACCAATTGGACAAAGTTCAACATTGTTGTGGCGAAGAGCCGATCCATACTCGGTTTTTCCATCCTGATTGGTCTTACCAAAAGTGATTGTAGCAACCAAGGCTATACATTGCGAAACGCCTTGGTCGTTAAGCTCGTTTTGGAGCAGGTCGGCCAGTTGCATACCCAAAGCCGTTTCACTTCGCAAAAGCATTGCATGACTGATCATAAACAAAAGGCGATTTCTTGTGCCAAAAGTGGAATTTTGTCGCATGAAATAGCAACAAGCAGCAAGGTATTGTTCTCTCGTGTAGCAATCGTTCAAAGTATTGACACCACGATCATGATGACTTTCTCTCTTTCTTTTTGTTTCCTTCTTGTCCAAAGTCTCCAAGAAAGCGATTACCAAAGGTCCTCTGACTGGCTTTTCGGTCATGAATCCTAAAGCATGTTGACTGGCACCGAGATCCATGCATGCCTTAACGTAACTGTAAATAGACTCGCGGCCCAATGGAATGGGTGTTCCATCCGGATTTGCTCTGTTCTTGCGACCACGCTTGACAATGAATTCTCTCAGGAAGTAGCTAAGCTTACTGTCGTTGACCAAAACTCCATCAGAGAATCCTTGATTAATACACCAGGTCTGGTTTAAGTGTATGATTTTAGCAATTTTATACTGTAATGGTAATTTTTTTTCCTACCTTCCATTCAGCTTGTCTAAGAGTATATAACTTTTCGGTGTTTCTAGGGCGTTGTACTCTTCTTTCGGCAACAATAACTTGGCTGTTACGTTCAAGCTCGAGTCTAAGTTCAAGGTCTCGTTGGAGATCTTGATCAGGTTGAGAATTAGTGACGTGGTTCATGGCAATATGTATACGTTGAAGGTTATATTTTTTTTTTGGGAAAGACTAGATACAATTTGATAAACAGGTGCTATTTATAGTTGAATCAATAAGAAGTTCGAGAGTGATAATGACGAATTAAGAATAAAAACAAGACTATAATGAGATGTCAACAATAATAACAATAACATTCATTCTTCTACTGCGTATATCTTGTAGCACAATATTCAGGGGAAATTGTAGTTCTTAATAAGGATAGCTGTGGCACCTCAATGTGGCTGATGTAATTTCCATATGTTTTCATATTAATGTTATTATTTAAATGTATGTCTTATACTTGTATGAAGGATGATATGAGATCAAACCTGTACTTAAAGTGAATAATCAGTATTTAACATATAGTGTCAATAAGAATTGTATTTAGGATTATCAAATGGGAGATTTAAGAAGTGTAGATAGAGTCATATATTAAGTATATAGCCTCAATCACGACACTTGATACCAATCGTATATAAACGTATCAACTATATTACAGTTGCTCAATATTGAATAAGAACAATGTAAAACAGGTCGAATAATTAATTTCCTTACAAAATTTAGACACCTACTGGCACATGGCAGTAAAAAATTGACGCCTTTTGACAAGCGTAAAATGCTGGTAATGTAGATTTTACTTGGATATTTTACCTTCAAATTGCTATTATCAGCCATGAAAAGAACGTATATGACTAAAAAGCATATATAATGGTAAATATTATACGACAATATGGCATTTGTATTAAAAATGGTTTATACATTAGTACCTAAAGAAAGCTATATCATATAGAAAATTCGTGATAAACGTAAATAGAAAACATATAGGGAAGTAGACAAAACAGATTTGTCTGCCTGAGGCTATTCAAATTTTAAAATTCATGCCAATTTACCCTACTGGGCAAGCTGTATTCCACTCAAAGGGGACCAAAACTGGAAAGAAATATCAGAGTCGCTCAACAAGCGAGTCCCACAAGTTAAAATGTAAAAAATCTGACGAGCAGAAAAAGGCTGGGTTGCAATCACAAGAAGGGCAGTAAAGAGTAAGGCCGTTCCCAAAAACAAATCACTCAATTTGTAAAAAAGAATAGCACCCCCCAGTATAAGTACTAGCTTATAACTATACTATACTCAGGATAGCAATGTGGCCTATATACCAGTAAATTAGACATGCTAGTTTAGTAATTACCAATAATGCTTTAAGTCATGTCACACTTGTTTTTACTTTTTTGAATAAATCACTAATTTGTAAAATGCCCAACCCCCCATAAATTTTGGCTGGTAAGTTTTTTTTTTAAAGTTTAAATTACTATTTTGAGCGAAATGTTTTTGTTCCCAAAACGCGAAGAATTTGCTTGGGAACGGCCTAAGACATCAAGCAGTCTTATCAGCTTTTTTAATCAAAATCTTTGCATTACCCAGATATGACTAAAGCACAATGTCTTTGTCACTTTAAAAGATTAATGTGTCTATCGTAGAGGCAAAAACCGTAAACTTACTCTAACGCCTTTTGTAAGAAGATATAGCATGCTCTCTTGGGATGATGGTTACTCATTACGCGTTTTTTGCACGTCGTACAATCATAGAAGAAAACGCAGCGTTTAATTTCTAGACCATGGCACTCCTTATGCTGTGACCGATGAATACGCTTGTCCGACTTGATGACGTGAAACGGCTTCAGCTACACCTCAGGTCATATATTCCACCTTTTCAGTATTTTGGAGAAAATTCTAGGTGCTCATTTTTAATCATTCACCAAGAAGACATGCAACAAGCGTAAATTCAACAAAAGGCTAAACCAACACGGAAATAAAACGCTCCGATACCTTTTCCGTTTCCATGAATAACGACGTTCACCAATAAGTATGTGTTTAATCGACGCAGTTTTTCCCCTTTTTTTATATATATATATTAAACCACCTTACCTAAGTATGACGGGCAGTGCTAAAAAACAGAGACAGCACACATCAACATTGTATGAAAAACTAAAGAACACGTACATAATTAAGTCAAGTCCCTGCAAAACGTCTGGTTCCAGCACCTCCATTTCGTATTTGGAGTTGAATTATGTGTGGTCAACAGGAACATACGCATTTGTAAACTGTCAAAATATAAGCCGGTTGAGGTGTGTTATCTCTGTGTTAAATGTGATTGTGATATTTATTCTTTTATGGGGCCTTCTTAATCAAAGTTCCGCCCGAGTCATAAATACATACGGCTGGATCAAATGATTGTCGATTGGGCAAACTTTTATATATACACTCGTAGGAGATAATATAAATACATTTTATCATGTTATGTGGACGTTTATTTATCTCTTTAAAAATCATTTGGCGACTTTAACAATTAGTAAACTGATGGAATTCGTATGAATTTGCCGTAACATAAAAACAATAAAAACAGGTCACTCGTAATTGACCTAAGACAATGCATAATTAGCATGTTTCGGAAGATGAAAACAAGCCACTGGCTATTCTTTCCCAGATACAATCTCTCACATGTTTTGATATAGAAAGCGCCCTCCCTTTTGCAATAAATTTCCATCCGTAACTTAGATAAAGATGAATAGAGACTCATTCCTTGTTTTTTTTTATTCTGTTTTTTTATATGCCTATATCAAAACATCACAAAAAGTATTTTTATGATTCTATTTCAGCAGACTGGCGATGTAACAGCCTATTTACAGCATGGTGTTTAAGGTTTTATTGTGTTTTTTATCCTTGTTTACACTGAACTGATGCGGCAGCTCTTCAAAGAAGTAAAGAAGAATGAGAGTGGTGTCAAAGAGAAAAGTTCACGCTTTTTTCTTATCAAACAGCCCCTGAGATGCGGACTTGTGACTGAAACTTAAATAACGCCAGATGTACAAAAAGTACGCGGAACAAAATATTGACAGTTTCCTTTTCTTACAAAATATAAACATTTCAAAGGTAAAAAAAAAAAAAAAAAAAAAAAAAAAAGCAACAACAAAATTTTAACAGATGGATAGATGAATACCATTCCCGTTGATGTACAACAAATGTTGATTAAACTTGGACTAAAGAAAATTTTGCAGTTTTTCAAGCAAGTTGCAAGAGGTGTCTATGATGAAGAAATCGATAACGAGATCCGGCAAAGTAATTGAATAACCCCATTTTTTTTGTTTTGGAATATTAATCCTTCTTACTAGGAAACCGAGTCGTAACCTTTGCTTCCCCTTTGGAGGTGGCTGAAGGCCTTTTAGACACTGCCGAATTTTTACCCGACAATACATCGCCTGTTATTTATTCGACCACCACACCTCCCCCTTCCCCTACTGCTACACCTAACACTGCCACTTCCTCCAACGCCACCATTGACTCTCCTCCTACTGCCACACCTGTCACCGCACATGCCCTTACACCAACCACCACACCAATCACCACACTTGCCCTTGTACCTTCCACCACCGCTACACCTACGACCACGTCTACCATGTATGAGTCTCTTGATGAAATAATCGAGTCCACCATGTCTGAGTCTCTTGATGAAACAATCGATAACGTTTCTGTTGTAGCTGTGGTTGCGGTGACTAAACTCCCTGATTATGCTGAAGTCGAAGAGTCAATCCGGTTCTTTGCTGCGCAACCTCCAAAAATGGTATCACTGACGATGGTCGTGTGTGGGTCAACCGATTGTGGCGGAGCTTATGACATGTACAAAAGGTGTAATGATCAGCATTTGTCAGTTAATATCATAAGGTGGGTATCTGCTATTATGTACGCTAAACATTATGATGCTCTTAGTAGAAGAGAACAAAAAGTATATCGTATGGCGGAGGTCTCCCATATCTCTGTTGATCAGCAGTATAAGATAATGTTGCTTGGTCGTAGAGGGTTGAAAGTACTTTCTATTTTTCAATTTAGTGGATTTGGATTGCTGTCAAAGTACAGCTGCGATAAGCTAATCAAGATTCGGGAACCAGCTTGGGAAAAGGAACTGGATCTTTTTCAGCAAGGAACTCCAATGCTGGAGAAATTGAGGACCTGCGCTTTCCACCCGGAATGGATTGCCCAAATCCGGTCGGTTGGTCCCCAATTGGGATTAACCAATACCGGAGAGCTTGTGTCTTCGTTAGGTGAAGAGGTTGTATCGGGGGAGAGAGAAAGACGTCTCACCCTTTACAAGCGTCCATGCCCATTTGCGGACGCTAACGCAAAGAGACTGAAATAAAACTTTTTTATAAAAATTACATTGATCCTTTTATTTTTACTTTTATGATGATAAAACATGCCAATGGCGTACTAAAATCGCACTATTTAACATATAAGATTGCATATAAAATTATTCCGTCGATCCTTGATTGACAGGTACATAAAATCATAACACTCGTAAAAAAATAACACCATATAAAATATCCTGACTTATACATCTACAACTCAGGGTCACTAGATATCCTAGAAGAATATCTCATTTCGAATAGTAGATTGGTTACACTGATAAGGCTCATCAGTCCTTAGTAAATACAGCCAATAATACCAAGTGAGCACAAACTAGCCCATGATTTTACCCACGCTTTAAATAACTATATGTACCCCTTTTTCTTTCGGACAGTGCTCACGGTACCAATTTGCGTGCTTTAATAATATTTGCGCACTTCTAAATCTCAATTCGCGTAAATATTATTGGCCAACTTGCGCATTTCTAAAAATTAATTTGCATCTCCAGGTACACGGAAAATTCCTTCGGAAGTTTGACCATTTAAATCATGCGTCATTCTGAATTTCATTTTGCGTTTTAAAAGAATAATATTTGCGCGGTTTCTTGGCCAATTTGGGTTTACTTTTTAAAAACTTTCAACATGCATTCAATCACTGGATAACTTACCTTTGAAAATGGTCAGGGGGACATTGTTGACGAGAACGGAAATGAGGCCTTGGACTGGGAAGAAGAAGTCAATCCTTATAACACAAAAACTTTGAGTAGCTTTACGCAGTATCCCAATCTGAGTGGACCGAGTGGTGGACCAAAAAAGTATTTTCTCGTTTTAAGCGCTATAAACAAAACACTTGCCGAATATTTGGAAAAAATGCTCAGGCATTCCGATCCATCTGGTCCCATCTGGTAATTACTCCAATAAAAAGGTCAAAATACGCGTCTGAGACGAAAAGCTACATGAGGTTCCTTTTATTCAAATAAATAAAATTGATCGATTTCAAATAAACGGCAATTTGTTTTATAATTCAAATAGAACGTTGTCCTGTAATTGTACCAAGAGGAATTTTGATATAAAGGCTGCCAATTAGCATCCTTCTACTATTTAAAAATTAAATGTGTCAATATTTGTGCTTCAAGTTACAATTTAATCTTAACAAACATCCCAATTTGACATATATTATTTGTTGCCTTTAAACAAACAAAAAAAAGGCAAATATTTCAGTTTCATCTACATAGTATTAGGAACCCAAAATAATTTTAAGTTGTTCAGTTAGGGTTTTCTAAACAAAAGAGACGATGCTCAACTCCTTTACTATTTGTCCAAGGTTATTGTATAAAATTATGAGCTTTACTTTGTTATAGTTTTAGTGCCGAAACAATTTGTGACACATCTCTTGTCTAAGTCATTTGTTGTGATTGTCGTGGTCGAGGCTATACACTTAATATATGACTTTATCTACACTTCTTAAATCTTCCATTTGATAATCCTAAATATAAGTCTTATCAATACTTTATATCAAATAATGATCAATTACTTTATGGACAGGCTTGATCTTATCTTCATACAAGTATAAGACATACATTTAAATAATAACATTGATATGAAAACATATGAAAATAACATCAGCCACATTGAGGTGCCACAGCTATCCTTATTATGAACTACAATTTTCCCTGATTATTGTGCTACAAGATATACGCAGTTGAAGAATGAATGTTATTATTATTGTTATTGACATCTCATTATGGCCTTTCTATACGGAATCATTACATCCGAGTATTATCTGGATAAATCTACCCACGACCGTCATTAGCCCATCTGTTATTAATGTCTAAAAATAACGTGTTTATAAAGACCCTCTTTTATTTGTTTATTAAAGCCTTACTTAATTTTTGCAAGTTTGATAATTTTCTTGTTTTTATTTATAAATCTTCATCGATTTGCACAAAATGACAGAAACAATAAGCGAGAAGTAAAAGGATCAATACCGCTGATATAGCGCTAGTACGGATTTAGACAATAGGAGGTTCCAGAATTAAAATTTAAGTTTGCAAAAATGTTGGTGTAACTCTATATATTTTTCACTTTCTGAGTCCCCCCCCCCTTTTTTTTCAATGAAAAAAAATCAAATTTGTAAGACTTTGTATCGTTTACTGTGTCAAGTAATAGAAAAAGGATATGGATTAGATTAATGAAATATGTCGAAGCATCATGAAATATCCTGCCCTTGAATTCTAAGTTTTTAGACTAATTTAGACTATATTTTATTTTTGCAAAAACTTACCTCAATTATGAATTTAGGGCATGCTTATATTAACTTTGATAATAAAAAAGTTTTAAAAGTATTTTTTTTTTCTTTATAAATCAAACTACCCCTTGATTTATTACAATTCTTACATGTAAAAGAGTAAAGAGTCTACGACGGGCTTCAGCAAGAAGATGTAGTAATTCTATAGTTTACAAAAGTCTACAGTGACAGTAACTAAAAGCGGAGGAAATTCTAATGAGGGCCCTCGCAAGCACATCAAACTATTTTTAATTTCCTCTTTGGTACTAAGACCAACTTTCTGATAAAACTCTTGGTCCAAGCAAAAATTAAAGCGTTCAGGGAGGGTTCTACACCAGAATACAACACAGTTGTGAATATTGACATTGATCCTTTCGCATAATTCATCAACACTTTTATCTTGCATCTCCTTTAGTCATTATAATAACGGAGTAGGGATAGGTGATGATAATTTTAACAGCACAGCGTAGCTGAAGAACTCAACTACATCAGAAAAAAAGCATTATTGCTGCTTGAGTAAAAAGAGAGTCTGAATAAAATCATCTTGTCATTGTGCTAAAATTAATTACACGAACATTTCTAAATTGTCTGAATAAATTGTCTGAATAGAAATAAGATAATGTTGCACGATCATTGAATAGAGGATACTATTAGGACGTCATTAAAAACGTGATTTAAAAAAATAGAAAAAATGATTTGAAGTAACGTGATTTTGTCCTTTTTTTAAAACTTCCCTTTTTTGATTTTGTTCCATGCTCTCACCTCTAACTATAAAACGTTGTATGCGAGAGCATTATCGTCTCCCTTCTTTATTTTATCTTTCTTCTTTAATTTTCAATACACTGGTAAGTCTTGACATTGGCATTGACATCAAGCGGTTGTTAACTGTATGCTATGAAGTGTAGTTGTGTGTTATTTTGTTTTAGTTGTAGTTTCTTTTGTCGTCTTATTTTATTCAATTCACTCATACCAACTTGGTAATAAGTCTTTCCCCCTCCTGTTCCTTTTTAACTTTTATTCATATGATTGCATTTCTTTTAGTTGGTTCATTTATTTCAATAAATAATCTCTCATAAATAGCCGTCAAAAACGATCGTCTTAAATTAAAATGCATTTATGATAAACCAGATAGATCTGACCAAAAGCTTTGTTGAAATATAAATCCGCATTCAATTAATAGGATGGCAACAATATATAGTTTTCTATACCATTCTGGGTTTTTTTTTTTTTTTTTTTTTTTTTTTTTTTCTTTTGTTCTACCAGTTAACATATTACCGAAAAAGCAAATAAAAAAATACATCAGTAGTAATCACAAATAGCTTCCTCGGGATATGTCTAGAACATCGATGCCATTTTTCAGCCGATAGCTCTACAATGACCTTAAATCCGCTGCACTATTCCAATGTTAATATTGAAACAAAGCTTTTTTTGCGCTACTACCATATGCTTGAAGCTAGTGCTTAATTTATACAGAGAATTCACATTTTCTATCTGTGAAGTACTGTTTAAACATTTGCTTATATCCTTTTGTTTTTAATTTTTTCAAGTGTTACTGTAAAGGATTTAGAAAACAAACACAAACAATACGAAATTTACACTTGTTCTATTAAAGAAAAATTTTGCTCTTATTACTACAACTATAATTTTCGAATTGGATGTTATCGAATTGATGTTATTAAACTGACCGCAACTTAAGACGAATTCAAAAGCTGTATAAAAAAGCAAAAAGTGGAATTTCTTTGCAGATTTACTGGCATAATATCATCTAATGATAATCGCAAATTGAAAAATAATAGCTACATAAGCAGCCGAATAATTTCCGAAAATCCAGAAATGTAAAAGATCAATATTATACAGCACAAACTACTTTTCAGTCAGATATAAAGACCGAAGTATTTTTTAAAAGCAAACAACGTTTATTCATATAAAAATTGTTTTGACAAACATATAAATGTGGTCGTGGCCACAAATAGAGTAACGAATCTCTTACAAAGTCATTCTTTGCAGATGGCCCGCAAAAAAAAATTTACCGTCAAGGAAAACGCTGAATACAATTATGGTTTCTGTTGAATATCACTGCGTACGACTCCTTCGCACAGTCTGCGTACCGTAACCTCGAGTGATTTCATTCCAAAAAAAAAAAAAAGCATTCGACGGAGCTTACGCTAAAACACGATTGTAGCTCGTCCGAGAGTTTAAATCCTCGTTCCAAACACTAGCTCATGCAAAAGACAAAACATATCACATTAAAACGAAAAAAAAATGAAAATACGTATAATATCTAGTGAACTGAAATCCTGAAAGGGGGGTAGCTTCACCAATTTTTTCGGTGAATATGATATCATCTATAAAAAAACGTTAAAAACACTGAAGAATTCAGCATATCTACTAGTGTTTTAAGTATATTGACATAGGGCATGGTTTTCATTAACTAGAATTGAATGCAAAACGTCTTTTTAACTTTATTTTTCAAAGAACTAAGTTCTCCTCTCTTTTTTAACTATTTTTAAAGGTTATTTTAGGACATTCTTCAGATATATATTCTATTATGATAGAAATCAATGAACATCGTTTCTCTACTTTGCCATTTACATCACTTGCTATACCGTTGTTTCTATGAATCAAGATAACACCACCGCAATTAAATTAAGTAAAGTCATATTTTACGTATTCTTCATTTATCATCACTAAAATGTTACAAAAGCTCTTGTTTGGTCTGACTGTACAACTAGTATGACATATATAAAAGTAGAGTAGTAGACAAAATATGATGAAATGTACATCTTATAATTTGTACTCGAACGTCATTGCAAAAAACAAAGAAAAAATAAAAAAGGTCGCACCGAGAATCGAACTCGGATCACCGGATTCAAAGACCGATATGATAACCATTACACTATGCAACCAACTTATGTTTATAAAATTATAATTTATAATTTAATTTGTGCTAATGTAGTTTTAAAAATCACGTGACAATCACGTGTAAGTTGTTTTATTGGTCAGAAAGTGTGATGACCCGAATTCTGGGTGGAAGAGGGATTATCAAAGATATTTGATTACTTGTACAGTTGTAACTTTGAATTCAAACGATGTTGCATTTTCAGACAAAGCAAGATTAATTTTAGACGTTTGTTTACTTTTTCAGACCATATAAAAATGGAAATTTGGAATAGAAATTCAGACCAGATGTAAAAGTAAAACTTTTTACCTATAGAAATCATTAAGTCTTCGTCGAAACGAAGACAGCCACGTTCTATGTGGCGCGTTGACTGTTTAGTTGAGTAAAAACGGGCAGTCGTTAACCACTGACCCACATTTGTGCTGCAATATACATCATATTTTTTGAATCTAAGACGTCCTTATTCCAGAATATAAATTGCAAATTAATATATTGAAGAAAGTGTTGTCCCCAACTCTGTGGTTTCGAAGGTTCTTTTCTTTGCAGGTAAAACATATCTTGTATAGGATAGTTATTAGATGTAGTAGTCACCCGATAATACAATTCGCGAACCGTTTACCACCTGATAATATATGACAGCATTTGCTTTCTACGTATACAGCACAGAGAAGCAAGGGGATTGACAGTTTCAGCTTGACAGATACCTATTATTCCATAAAAATAGAATGTCACCTGTGTATTTGGTATTATGTCTCAAAGTGCACGAAATTGTATTGAACACCTTCGAAATGGTCATTAGCCAGCATTACAGAAATAGTTATCCACAAACAATGATAAATCCTATTGATCGTAAGTTTCGCATATATATCTGATACTAGATTATGTGTAGTGGGACACACAATCTATTGGGAAAAAGAGTAAGAAAAGTGAAATCACAGAGCAAAAAAAAAAAAAAAACAGAGAAAAGAGACAAAGAAACGAAGGTATAATCCAGATTCTTCGACGAAAGAAAGAAAAAAAAGGACCTACAAGCAAGTCGGACATAAATGGATGTGTTTTCTTGAATGTTTACCAAAAGAAGTAATGACGGGGAAAATTACAAGGAACCTTTTTTTGCAACTGTAGTCAATAATGATTTCCGACGACCACTTAAAAAAAGCCTCTATCAAATTACTTGAATCATATAGCAGCAAGGGCGCCTATGTGGGTTGCAACTACTTATATCACCGTCTAGTGTTCGTCCAAATCTTTATGATGATATAAATTTTAGGCAGAACTACTTAAACTCAATCTGTCGCATTGCAAATTCCAAAAAAATCCCAAATAGTCAAATCAACCCCTATGTGTCAATACAAAGTTGAAATACCTGCCGCAATAGAAAATGGTATGAGAAGCAGGTACAAGTAAGTACTCAACAAAGAAATGCAAGAAGCTACCACAACCTACTCAACCACATATTGTCAAAATTTTTGAATACGTCTCTTGATATACTTAAGATATCCATTTTAAAATATATATTTTTGTAAACAACAGTCAATATTTAATCTGGTGATTGCACTCAAAGTAATATTCCTCGAAACTAGTGGAAAGTATTATGTGTTCCATTTTACTTCTCCATTTTAAGCTCTATCGAGTAATTTTGTCAATCTGAAAAACATAGGCTACAATATATGCTTTTAGATAACAAAACGCAAGGTTTGGTAATATACCCGTATATACACTCTCATACGTGATAAGATTGGCATCGTGGTCGTTTTGAATGTCAAATGATCGATTTTTATGAAAGATAACCAAAATTATTAGTCCCAACAACTTTTTTTCAGTCAACAAACATAAAAAGTTTCAATTTGGAAGATAATGAGGACTTATCTACAATCTTTTATTTATTGACTTTTTAACTGAAAATTTGCATTATTTCAAAAAAAATTGAAAGATAACAAAAAAATTTAAAAAACGTAATGATAATTAAATAATTGAATAATTGTAATTCGTTTGCAGTATAAGGAGTAGCTATAGAACGAGAAAAAAAAATGAAGTGTGCTTGTACTTGTACATGTGTGTGCGTGTGTGTATTTGCAAGAACGATTCATCATAAGACTGCCGCCATTTAAATCTGCTAACCTAATTGGTTCTTGATTTGATGATGAAAAAAGAGACCATTTGATTCTATCAATAGATCCACATGATTTATAAACATTTGTATCTCTTTAAAATATCTTTCACCGTCAAAAGCGTCCGTCAATTGATTTCTCTTTATAACAGGTGACAATTCCCAATTTTTATAGATATTTACATCTATTCCAATCGTGTATTTAAGCCACATGTATGTCTGTTCCACTGAAGCAGAGATTGTGTCTGGAAAGTAAAGCGATATTTTTTTGTGGCATCTATCCGTGCAAACCATAAACTGATAAGACTTTTGAGTTTGAAGCTTTTTCAACAAGCTTAATATATTTCTAAAATGAGACAACTTTTCGTGTGAACTCTTTGATAAGGAGTCTATCAATCGCTGCATGTCATCGTCACTTGAAGCTCCATTTAACTCTGATATTGTGTCATAGCTATACTCACCGATTAAATCCATAGAAAGTAAAACGTTATATCGAATGCTTTTTTTAGTACGCCTCGGTTGATGTACAATTCTACTATCTGGCGTGCCAATCGTTCTATTAGTCATCTGTTTTCTATCGATAATCAATTCGATGATGCCGTCTCGCTTCATTTCCCTTGAAAAAATACGATGATAGAGTGGTTTTTTTGCTTTGGGATCATTGAACTTGTTAGAAATAGGAGTGCTTTGCTGTGTCTCTTGATCAGAAGGTTTTTTAATAGGATAAATTTGCTTCACAGGGGCTATAGTTAAGTGATTTGATGATAGTGTATTAAAAGGTACTCTCGTATAGCCTATAATTGGGGTCATTTATAAAAAGAATAGAAAAAAAAAAAAGGTGAAGAAAAAAGAAAATTTATGCATCTTTATATTCATGTAAAAAAAAAAAAAAAAAAAAAAAAAAAAGATCACGCACACCCAAGCATAAAACTTTAAATTGTAACACGGCTTAACTGTTCAATACCCTCTACATCAAATATACCAGCTTCCTCAGTTTCAATACCAGCAATAACAGCCCTTGCTACTTGCTCAGTCTGTAAAGGAGGTGTAGTGATAAATTTACCGAGTGGCAAACTTGCAATACCTTTTTTAAAGGGACTAGTCACTGCGTTTATGAATTGAAGTGCACCAGCAATAGGCACTGCAGACGGTCTTTGAACATTATACATAAAGCCTATTCACGCCTTTATTAGCCTTCATTTTTTTTTCTGGTTTTATGTGGTAATTACCTGGACGGAGTACAACGGTTTTAAATTCATCATGTCTGAAAAGGTAGCGTTCAGCTTCTCTCTTTGTTGTGATATAGCGAGGATCAATTAAAGGAAAGACGTCGGATGCGGATATATAAGTAAATGAGCGAATGGAATCTAATTTGGCCACCTCGTCAGCGATGGTCGTGGCTAGAAATTTTGCTGTTTAAATACCCAAATACCCATATGTTTATTTTATATAACTTACCTGTATCTCTATTCATCATTTCGTAGGTAGGTCTAGGGCGATCATTTGATTTAGGATCAAGAGGATTTCCTTGATCATTCATGCCCAAAATTATGCGAGGAACACCACTGGCTGCTTCACATAAAGTTTGTGCTTGTGCAATGTTTTTGTAATCATTTTCCATTAAGATACCAACAGTGTGCACAACATTGGTCACGTCTTTTATCAGATCCTTATAGGATGCTGGATCCAATGAGTCACCTTGAGCCCATTGAACCTAATAACTGGTTATTATCATAAAGTACTTGTTGTTTTGTAGTTTCTTACTTTTTCGGCCCAATCAGGTTTACCATATTGCTTAAATAGTTCAGGTTCTCCTCTTCGACTGTAAACAAATTAGAAAAAGGTTGATTTATACAAGAATACCCGACTGACTTTGCCTTACCTTAAACTCACAGTTTCCCAGCCCTTGTTCGCAGCGAGTTTACAGATATGGGAGCCTACATGTCAAACAATGTCTTTTTTTTTAGTGCCATGCCAGCCAAGCTTCCTTTTTGTGCAGTGTAAGTCTTACCAAGGAATCCTGAACCACCAACAACAAGCAATCTTCTAGCAATGGGTTGAGCCATGGTCAATTTATAAAAACACAGAAAAGAGTTACAAAAACCTAAATTATTTTGTTTTTGTTTTCATATCCCTTGCCCCATTTTCGCGCGGGACACCAAAGTCCGCGACATAAGTCTTATTTATCTATAGTTTACGCTTTTTTCTTTGCTTTTTATTGATAAGTTTTAAAAGAAGAAAATGAGACGTGTATATGTGGGGATTATTTATACATTTACTTGCGAACGTAAACAGTGACGTTCTCACCAGCAGGACCAGATTCAGAATCGGTAGGTGCTTCAGCGCTGGCTTCTAAAATGGTTAATTGAGAAACACCCTTTGCCAAGGCAACGATGACATCCTTCTCAGACTCAAAGAGCTTGGTTTTATCAGCATCGGCGGCTTGAATCGATGCAACAATTTCTTTCTTTTGCTTGAGTTGAACAGCGATAGAACGAATAGTCTTGACACCTTCAAACACGGTATCGAATAACTTCTCCTCTTCTGTGAACTCATAAGCCTTGTTGGCAACAGGGTAGCTAGCCTTGACAATGGTAGAGACTTCTTGACCGGGACGACGTTCAAGACGTTGGAACAACTCTTCAGTGACGAAAGGCATGAAGGGATGCATGAGCTTAAGGCCGGCCTCAAGACAAGTGTACAAGGTGTTCTGGGCAGTAACCTTACGAGTGGTAGCGGCTTCATCACCGGTGGTATCGGCATCACAGATAGGCTTGACAGCTTCAATATAGACATCACAGAGATCATAAAGCCAGAATTGATGGACAGCGTGGGTAGCACCCATAAAGTTACGTTCTTCTAAAGCCTTATTGGTATCAATAGCACATTTGTTAAGCTTGGCCAAAATCCACTTATCAACCAAAGATTCATGACCGGTAGGTTCAGCAGAGGCGTTAGGCTTGAAGTCAGAACCCAACTTCATTAAAGCAAAACGGGTGGCATTCCATAACTTGTTACAGAACTTACGATAACCTTCGACACGAAGAATATCGAGGTTAATATCACGACCACCGGTGGTGTAAGCACAAAGGGCGAAACGAAGAGCATCAGTACCACACTCGGGAATACCCTTGGGGAAATCCGCCTTTTGACCAGACTCAGCCTTCTTAATTTCACGAGGATCCAAGTTACCTTCATAAAGCTTCTTGTGGAGACCTTCGAGACTAATACCTTCAATGACATCAACGGGATCAATGACATTACCGAGAGACTTGGACATCTTACGACCGTGAGCATCACGAATCATGGCATGACAAAGGACCTCAGCAAAGGGAACCTTACCGGTCAATTGAATACCGAGCATGACCATACGGGCGACCCAGAAGAAAAGAATATCCCAACCAGTCTCTAAAAGAGATGCAGGATAGAAGTGCTCCATCTCAAAGGTTTGCTCGGGCCAACCTTGAATAGAGAAAGGCCATAAGCCAGAGGAGAACCAAGTATCCAAAACATCGGGATCTTGCTCAAGAGTGAACTTTTTACCAGGGAATTTACGTTCGGCTTCGGCACGAGCAGCAGCTTCATCTTGGCCAGAGACCCACATCTCATCATCAATAGAATCATGAGTTTCGCCCTCAATGTTAACAAAGTAGGCAGGAACACGATGACCCCACCATAATTGACGAGAAATACACCAATCGTTGATGTTACCTAACCAACGGAACCAATCACCTTCAGAAATCTTGGGGGCGATCTTAAGCTCACCGTCGGTGACAGCCTTCATAGCCTTTTCAGCCATACCTTGACACTTGACCCACCATTGAGGCTTCATCAATGGTTCAATGATATCGCCTGACTTGGAGCAAACAGGGACGGTCATAGGGTTTTCCTTTACACCAACGAATAATCCCTTAGCCTTTAAATCCTCAATAATCTTGTTACGGATATGGAAACGCTTCATACCGGCATAAGGACCAGCGTTAGCGTTATAAGTACCATCATCGTTCAAGAGGTTGATGAATTCTAAATCATGACGCTTACCGACTTCATAATCGTTGAAATCGTGAGCAGGGGTGATCTTAACAGCACCAGTACCGAATTCCATGTCGACAGCAATATCATCAGTAATGATAGGAATACGACGTTCGTTGAAAGGGTGGACGACAAATTTACCGTGAAGATGAGTATAACGCTTATCATCGGGGTGGACAGCAATAGCGGTATCACCCAACATGGTTTCAATACGTGTGGTAGCAACAACAAGACGCTCACTGGTACCTTCGACTTCATAAGCGAATTCGTTAAGGACACCGAATTCGAACTTCTCCTTGGCATCGTAACCGGCGACGGACATCAAGGTACGACCTGGGATTTCCTTGTTCTCGACTTCCAAGTTGGATAAGGCGGTATTGAGTTGAACACACCAGTTGATGAGACGGTTAGCACGGTAGACAATACCATCACGATGAAGACGAATAAAGTTTTCACGGACGGCCATAGAAGGCTTAGGGTCCATAGTGAATACAGCTCTATCCCAATCAAAAGAAGCACCAAGACGTTCAAATTGACTGAAGATTTTATTACCAAACTTATCCTTCCAGGCAAATACCTCCTCGATAAACTTCTCACGGCCAAGGTCGTGACGAGTGATTCCTCTTTCCTTCCACAACATCTTTTCGACAACAGATTGACAAGAGATACCGGCATGATCGGTACCAGGGTTAAACAAAACTGTCTTACCCAACATACGGTTCCTAAATATATATTTCGTATTGATCAATGATATGCACACACACACACACACACACGCACGCAGAGAAATAAATAAAATCAGTGTAAAATTTACCAACGAACCAAGGCATCTTGAATGGCAACGGTTAAAGCATGACCGATATGAAGAGAACCAGTAACATTGGGTGGGGGAGCAGGGATAACAAATGTACCTTCAGGCTTGGGCTTTCCATCGGGACCGAATTCAGGCTTGAACAAACCTTCCTTAACCCACCAATCATACCAAGCACTTTCAACAGCCTTGGGATCATAAGCACTGGCAATAGGCTCAGACATGTCTTAAGAAAAGTAAGTTTCACAATTTGGGAACAGACTGTCACTATTATTATTTTATCTTACCCTTCTTTTCACCCTTGGGGGTCTTGTTGACGAAAACAGGTGCAGGTTCAGCTTTGACAACCTTCTTTTTCTTCTTTTCAGGGTTGGCGGCCTCAGCCTTTTTAACCTCGTCTATCTAATGCCAGAAGTGTTAAACACGTATAATGATAAGTAGAACGTAAGTGTCATTACTTTAGCTTGCTTAGCAAGGAACTTGGCTTGTTTGGCAAGACGCTTTTCTTCGTTTTTAGCATCCTTAGCAGCCTTCTTGGCAGCAGCGGCAGGGTCAAGTTCGGCAGCAGGTGCAACAGCGGGTGCAGCAGCAGGCTTTTGTTCTTTCAATTCGGACATGATTACAAAAAAAAGTTTATAAAAAAGAGCAAGGTTATTGAGAAACAAAACTTTTTTTTTATATACCAACTGGCTTTTAAAAAAGGTCACATAGAGAAAGAAAAAAAAAAGATATACGGACAAACAATCCCTCAAAGGCAAGTGAAGTACGGACACAAAAAGAGTCATCACGCAAATATCAAATTGATTTGTTGAGCGTTTTAGAGCGGTTGATACGTGTACTTTTCTGGTCACATTGGCCTTCTTTTTAATAATGTAAATATGACTCATTTTCAAGTCAATAGTGTCTCACCGGTCCCCCCACATTTAGTACCTGTTTGGAACCGAGATAAAGTTATGTGCTGGCAATTATTCACGTAGTTTATTATGAGGGTTTTATTTGTTTTCAATTCTTCATCTCCATAATCAAGACCACACTTCATTTCAATATAAGCCACCCTTCAAAGTTGGGTATCAGCGGCCTTTTAATTGAATTGTTTTGACGGCTTAAAAACACATACAGTTATTCCTTTGGAAGTGTACCTTCATCCTTCGACTCAACTGTTCAAAATGGTTTTTCAAAACAGCGTAAGTTCAACTTGTCAGTTTATAATGAAGCAGTAACATTAACTAAATAATTAGGTTTTGAAAAAAGACATTTATGCTGGTATCGTCACCAGCCTAATGTTTCATAATGATTCGATTTTGCTTGCAGGACATGGTCCCTTTTTGAAAGTTTATAATGTTCAAACCGGTCAATTATTGACAACTGAATGCATTTTGCCTGCTAATCGCATTCATCGCATTGTTTTAGGTAGAATATATTATCGGCCGTATATATATATATATATATATACATATAATTTTTAATGCTTAGCTGTTTATTGTAGCTCCTCATGTCACTTATGAAAATAATGTGGAAATTAGAAGACTAGCTGTATTTGGATCGAAATATCTCTCTCTTCTCGAGTTAAAGATCACACAAAATGAAGCAAGGTATCCACCTAATATTTATGATAAAGTTACCACAATTCTTAAACCGTAGTATAGTATCACTATTGATAAATCATTTGGACCCTTCAAAGATTGGATTATGGATGCACAATGGATTTACGAGGAAGATGAAAAGACGTATCCCACCAAAATGACGTTTGTATATGGACACAACGATATGGAAATGTATGATTTAAAGACCAGCGAGCCAGTGTTGTTGTATGCAGTGCAATGCCAAGTGAGATGTATTTTATATTCAGCAAGGATCTATGGCCATACACCATCCACACTGATCGTAGCCTCAGGCACGGTATTTAACGAAGTGCATCTTTGGAAACCGCTCGTGAGGAATGAAGATGAGGATTCTATCGTTTATAAGTATTTGAAAGGACACGAAGGTGTAATTTTTGGTATGCGATTTAACGAGGATGCAAGTCAGATCCTAAGTGTATCGGATGATAGAACGATCCGTGTTTGGCCGTTAAAGGATGATACAAAGGATCCCGTCGTGCTGTTTGGACATACATCACGTATTTGGGATTGTCAATTTGTGGATGAATACCTTGTAAGTATCTCAGAGGATTCGACATGTAGAGTATGGAAGAACACATTGGTAGTAGATCCTGAGGAAGATGATAATGGTGACTGTATTGCTTGTTGGGAAGGACATGCTAGTAAAAACGTATGGAGTTGTGCAATCAATCCCGAACATCAAATTGTCGCTACGGGTGGACAAGATTCGGGAATCCGGTTATGGTCCTTGGGATCCATTAAAAACAACAAGATTGATTCTGAAGATGATTTGGTGAGCTTCCCGTTGCCTAAAGAGAGAGGGAAAGATAATATTCGTAATTTTGTAATTGTGAAGAATCGCTGGATCGTATCTGCTACTACTGAGGGATATATTTTGAAATGCGATACAACAGTTCTGCCACATCAATGGATCGAAGTGCAATATGATGTATCCTACAAGAATTATGCCATAATGAAGAATTCAGAATGTGGTCGGGTTGTTGTCGTGGGTAACATTCGTGGTGATCTTGTCTTTATCAGCCCCACTGAGGCATTTAAAGTAAGTTTGACATGTATGTAGCTCAATGATCCAGTCTGACTTTTTTGCAGCCTTTCAAAATTCCCGCCCACAAACAAAAATTATTCGAGATTTTTATTGAATCAACCGCCGGTAAAAATGAATATAATTTTTTTGGAGGGAAAGTAATTTTTGTATTAAACTATATTATAGATGAAAATATTTTAAATATTATTTCCAATGGTTATAATGATAGTGTATTATTCCATCGACTAGACCTTACAACATCCACGGTAAGTTAATGTCAATTTAAAGATCTTTGATAGACCCTAAAAAATATATATCTGTAAACAGCCCGTAGTCAGAACATTATTCAATCTTGAAATGCCGGCGGAAAGAACTACTGTTATGTCTTTAGGTTTTGCCGAGGAAGAAAATATCCTGATTTGTGGATCCAGAGAATCAGCACTTTTAATTTATCGTTTACCATATCACACAAATGTACCCGAAAATATCATCCAGTTAATAAAACCTTCTTTGCAGTTACGCCGCTCTCATGGAAAGCAAGCGATTACCAGCGTTCTGATTAAAAAAGCCCAGGACGATATTGAGATTCCAGAAGCTGCCGCTGAAGAAGATGTTGTGATGGATGACGAAGAAGAAGATAACGATGGTATCATCTTTTGGACGACTGGCCGTGATGGATGTTATATCCAGTATCGACTCCGAATTTCTCAGCAAGCTGCTGAAAACGTAGAAGAAACCCAGTTAGGAATTGCTAGCCAAGGGGACACTGTGCTTTCTGGTCATGACATGGTGCTCGAAAAACTTTATAGAAACCGAGTGACTAAGGGAACACTTGAAGGATCCACTTTGATGGACGGTCAACTCTTACTGTTGGGTTTCTTCCGTAAGAATTTATTTGTCTATAATGAACAAAAGAATTTTGTCATGCTTGCCATCAATTGTGGCGGTGGACATAGACGTTGGGGATACGCTTTGGAAGATGCAAAGTTAAACAAGTCATCGTTTGCTTTTATTCGTAAGGAGGTGCTTTACGCTTATTTCCGTGATACATCTAGCATCACAGAGGGATTCAAAGACAGCATTTTGCAAGGGAATTATCATGGACGTGAGGTGCGTGCGCTTCGTTTCCTTCCTTTATTGCCCCCAGATGCCGATGGACATCAACCAATGCTCTATGCTACAGGCGGCGAGGATACCATCCTCCGTATCCAACAATACATGCCTGGATCGGCTTGTGGTTATCGCACGCTTGTTAGTATTCGTAAGCACACCACGGTAATCAAGAATATTGATTATAGCCAAGGTATCTCATCTTTGTTATTTACAAGCGGTGGATTAGAGGAATTCAGGTGTTGGAAGATTGAAGCCACGGCACCCAAAACATCTGCAGGATTGGTTAATTTGAACTGTCTCGAAGTCGCTTCTTGTCATACTTTAAGCAAAGACATTGAATCTAGAATAATGGATACCAGTGTATTTGCTATTGATGCGGAACGAGGTCTCCATATTATTGGTGCTGTCTATTCCGATGCCATGATACGATTCTGGTTATTTAATGAAGTCTCAAGGAAATTCTCGCTTGTGGCTGATGGTACATGGCACGCCAAATGTATCCTTCAAATCACGCATTTAACATTGAACGGTCATATCTATTTCTTTACGTCAGCTACGGATGGAAGAGTTGCCATGTGGGATATTCATGATAAGTTATATGCAGCAGTTGAAAAGAACGAAGTTTTGGAGTTGGAGCCTACGAAGGCTGCTTTTCGATTAACTGAACCTGTATTTCATTACAGTGCCCATATGTCTGGTGTTAATGCTTTGGAGGCGGTGCCTTACAAGGAGGACGGAAGGATTTTGGTAACGACAGGCGGTGAAGATAATGCAGTTTCTGCTGCGATTTTAAAGATTCAGGAACATGGAAGTGTTAAACCTATTGGCCCACCCTTTATAATTCCCAGTGCACATGCTTCATCGGTGACAGGTATAAAGATAAAATTAGAAGAAAAAGTACGACTTAAGAACTAAAAAAATTAAGGATAGGTATCAAGTACATTGATCAAGTTATTTTCACAACATCTACAGATCAACGATTAAATAAGTGGCAAATCCGTGATCTTGAAGACCAGGGCGTGTCCTTGACCATGATAGATGCTGCTTATATGGACGTACCTGATCCATCTGCATTGGACGCTGTTGCATTTAAGTAAGTCTATTTTTTTTTATCTCTGCCTTTTTCCCTTTAACTGATTCATTCTCTTCGTAGTGGCCAAGTTCATGTTGCAATTACTGGTATTGGTTTGCAAAGCATCCGATATTCTCAATAGATCTACAAAATATAAAAAGTACACTCTTCCTGTTTTAATAAAACATAATCTTTTCTATAAAAAAAAATCGTTTTCCGTTTTATTATCTATACAATTTTTCGGGATACAAAAGGAAGGGGAGGGTGCGTATATGATAGAGTTGTTGTTGATGACTGCAAAGTTTTTCTTTTCCGGGAAGTGAATGAAAAAGGAGTATATAGAGTAGAGGAATCCAAATCCATGAAAAGAAAATGTCGGTTGTGGTAAAAAAAAAAAGAGTTTAACCTTGACGTTGCTTATGCTTGGGGTTCTTTGAGCAGGTAACGTAGAGCTTTCCACGTCTTCTAACAGTTGCACATCCATCACACATTTTCTTAACTGATGATCTCACCTTCATGGTGCGAACAGCTGTAAGCATGGAAGGATTACATGCTGTTAAAGTAGGTTGTTGTTGTCTGGTGAACTGTCCGAATGCAGTCTTTGCAAATTTTGTTAAGAAGGACATTTTTTATAACAAGAAAAGGCTTCACTTCTTATTATCTGCCTGTCTAGGGTGTCATACCCCCCATCCAAGAAAAAAAAACGGAGTATCAAATGTGACTTTTTAAATGCTTTACCTTTGTCAAAGAGATGCTTGAGCTGTAATAAACCTGAAGTGATACGACTTAACCTTTACCAACTAATATAATTTATATTTGAAGAGCTATTTCTGGTTATTTGAATTTAATAATGAAAAATAAGGTAAGTGTTCCTGATTTAAAGTCATTAACGTGCGCCCATTGAAATTTCATGAAAAGATCCATACGTTCAAGCTCATTGTTTATACGCCACGCGGCTATTGATAACGGCATTTGCATTAAACTCTGAGAGTCTAGCAAGGATCCAAAAAAAAAAAAAAAGATTTAAGGGCGTGGAATAAGTTTTTGTTTTAATATTTGCAAGGGTGGTAACCCATAAATTAAATAGGTATGCGGCGGAATTATATCTAACACTATCATTTGCCAGAACCATCAATTGTACTCATTAGTATCGGTCCAAAAATGAAACCGATAAAAAGTTTCACAGCTCGATTTTTTTATATCTTTGCTCATCTTCCTAAAAGCCTGGTTCTGCTACTAAGTATATTGTTTCCATCATAAGTAGACTATTCAAGTACTTGTTGGGTGAAAGAAAATACCCCTTGAGGGAGACATTTATACTTGCTTCTTAGCTTGTCCACAAAAGAGTCTATGCCAACTTTTCGTTCAGCTTTGTTTAAGTTAATCCATTGGTTAAAATAAATGGGGTTTACTCAGTATCATACTTGGCTTATAGGTTGTAATAAAAAGCGACTGGCTAGAGTTGATAAATCATTAAGATGCTGATTATTTATAGCGGACAAAATCCGTAATGTATTATTGCTTTATTTTGTCTAACAAATTGATTACTTGTGTAGTAAAAATCTCGCTGATGCCTTTCCAGTACATTCATAAAGTAACATTTGCATGTCATGTTCTGAAAACTTTCATTTAGATTTTATGAGAAAAAAAGTATGGACCACGTATCTAAAACTTGGTTTGATTCTTGCAGGATTAGGCTTGATAAATATACAAGGGCCCGGGTGTGATAAAACACATACACGTGCCGGACTAACTATAGACACAGGCAAATCTGATCGGATTATTAAAACAGATTTTTATGTTAGACCTTTGCCTTACATCCATTATACAATACACTGTCAATGGGATTAATAGGAAATATAGCACATTCACCAGAGAATAAACAGAACCATTTAAAAAAAAACTGTGCCATGTTCCTTTATTCAATATAGTACTATCAAACAACCGCGCCCACTGACGTAATGTAGCTTGCTTACATCGCTGTGAAAAAAACACTAATCGGCACTGAAATTTAATCCCTTAAAGTCTCTAATGGCACAAACCCCTTTTTGCGGCAGTGGCTGAAATTTTGGTTCCGCTACTAAACTGATTGGCCAAAATTTATTTTTGATTGTCCTGGCATCATGTTTCGTTACACAGCCAATTTTGTTAAAAGTTAGCGCAGGCAAAAAGGTACAACGGGGAACGATCCGTCTATCAAAAAAAAAAAAAAATGCTTTTGTGTCACTGTGGCTGTGTATAATATGGACGTGTTATTGTAAGACCCAGTCAGTATCACAAAGAGGATAATAGGTCCAGCCATCAAGTCCTATTATATGTTAGTGTAAATAATTTAAGCCGTAAATAATGTGTTAGGAATAAATTAGGATTATATTTTAATAACATTACGCACAGGCTATGTGTAAATTATTTAAATAGAAATTCGAGTCCAAACAAAAAGTCATATGGGGCAACACAATGTCAACAAGTGGCTATATATAAACAAGTCTGTCGGATTTTTTTTTTGGAATTTACTGCGGATTGCTACACCATTAGCACAATAGAGTGATGTAGGGGATAACCAATGGAATGGAAACATCTGGGTTTTCTGGGGAAGAGCTTGGCAGAGGTCCCTTTTTTTAATATGAAAATATTTGGTCGGATAACCCTAAATAGAAATGTACTAAATCGGTAAGAAGACCGGTAAGATATATAACAAAACAAAGCAAATTTAAGCGTCGTACCTTCAAAAACAAATTACACGCTATTTATTTTTTGCCACAATTCATTTCGGTTATCGTAAACAAAATGCTCAGTACATAAATTGCGTCAGAGAGACTTACGTATTTTGGTGTTTATCATCACGTAATATAGCTTTTTAAAAGGTGAAGTTTTCTCATTAAAAACCACACAGGATACGAATAGACATTTTGGCACCGTAAGCACTGCTTGCTTTCTATCCACTTGTTTGGGACGATGCAGACTTAACGCTAAAAATAATACAGCATGTTACACACGATACACAAAAGATGCGTTATGTACTCTTTTGTAACACCTTGGCAACGTTTACTGCGACCTGTAAAGTACTGCACTTTGCCACTGTTCATTTGGCCGCAGCATCATCTCTGCATATAAATAGAAGCGATTGTCAAAATTAAAACATTATCTTTTTTTTTCAACTTTGTAATTTTGCTCTGATTTTTTAACTTTTCATATACACTCATGTCCGTAACCGATTTGATTAACCCATCCAGCCATATTGGAAATGCTGTGAATATTTTGCTGACTCTTTTGGAGAAGATGTCTGATGAGAATATCTGGAAAAGTTTCCTTGGTGAACGTCTTGTCAATCTCGGTCAAAAGTACTTTGGAAATGACTTTGTTGCTCTCTCCTTGGCCATTTATATTGCTCGTAAGTTAAAAAAAAGCTCGATCTCATTTTATATTTATACCTTTCCCGATAGCAATCTTAAAAACACACTGGCACAATTTAATTGAGATGATATTTAAAAAAGTGACAAACTCAAACACTGTCTCCGTACGGATTTTCTCTTCAAATTCACTGTATAATAACATTAGTCGATATGTCTTTGAGCATGGCCCATCACGAGGAAAATTAACATCCGGTGTAGCTGAATATAAGGGATCTAGTTGTGGAAATTACACCAGTACAGATTTCTATGAAGAGGATGAGGATTGGATCTCAGAAGGAAGTACCTTGCAGAGTGAATCTGAGGATTTAAAAGTACAATTGCTTCCTCGTAAGTTTATAAGTTTAGGAATTTGAGAATGTCCAGGATTTTAATACTCTGTTTATAATCTAGCCCCAACCTTTAATGAAGAACTGGTTTATAGAGGACATAAGATCACAGTTTCATTTGTGGCATATACAGAAGATTTGGGTGAACATATCGATATTAGGTACAACCTTTGAAAATATCTCTCAACTTTTCTTTTTTTTTCTAATTGCAATTACGTAGCATGCAAAGTCCAAATACTAAATTATTGCACTTGTTTATCCAAGAATGGTCAAACCAATACAATATTACCACAGTTACGAGAGTAAGTGATAAAATGAAAACCGAATCCAAGTTGTTCTTTCGCTAAATTTCGTTTCTTTTCAGTATGTCTACCGTGCCAGCGGTTTCTCTTGGAACTATGAAAGAGAATTACCACACAGATCTTTGGATAGTGTGCATTTACGTGACGGTCAAAAAGAGAAATTGGTTCAAGGTAATTATTATAAAACAGAACCTGAAAACGCTATTTGGCTAAAAACATTGGTAAAGATATGAAAACATTTAGAAGCAGAGCTGACTGGTACAAGAAAAGAGGTATTCCTCACCGTCGTGGTTATCTCTTGTATGGTCCCCCAGGTACCGGTAAATCTTCGATTATTCAAGCTGTTGCCGTAAGTACTTGGTATAACCGTAGTAAAGTCAATAATACTAAATATATTCGATTACAGAACTCGTTGGACTTGAATGTTGCATTTGCTAGCTTGTCTGCTATTGGTGGTAATGATACTCTTGCCTCTCTTATGTCGGATTTGCCTCACAATTCTATTATTGTAATGGAAGACATTGATCACTTGTTTGAGTCTGTTACCAGCACAACAAAGGCGGCTACATCTACCTTAACAATGTCTGGTCTTTTGAATGTTTTAGATGGTATTCAAGGTCAAGAAGGAGCCAGTAAGTTGCAATTGTACAAATTTGTATAACTGTGCTTTAACATTATCCCTTTTAGTGATTTTCATGACTTGTAATAATATTGACAAAATCCAGCCTGCTTTGCTTAGACCCGGTAGAATCGATCTTAAGCTTAAATTAGATTATGCAGCCCCCGAACAAATTCGTGACACCTTCTGGAGATTTATGGATTTGGATGATGAGACATCTGAACCCTTGGAAGGCGAGGAAAGAAAAACAGTGGAGAAGCTTGCTTTAGAATTCGAAAAGACTATTCCTGACTACCATGTCACAACAGCCGAAATTCAGAGTTACTTTATCGATATGTTGCTGGAATCTAAGGCAAACGATTGGAAGAAGGAGATGCTGTATGAGCAAATGTTCAAGAGAGTGCCTGAATTCTTAGAAAGAGTAGAGTTAGATAGAAAGCAATCAAAGAACCATTCTGGTGTTTCTGATGAAAAGGAGGAAAAGAAGGAAGATGAAAAAGAAGAAAAGAAGGAGGATGAAAAAGAGGAAAAGAAGGAAGACGAGAAAGAAAACAGCGATGAAGTTGAAGAAAATGCTGATGAAGAAAAAAAAGAAACCCCCGAAGAAGAGAAAAAAGTTGATGTCCAAGAGGTAGAACAAGATGCCAAAGAAGCAAAATAATTCAATATACCCATGCTTACTTTAATAAAATATAAGAAAGTTAAAAATTGTATTATAAAATTAAACTCAAACTTTTTTCCCCATCAACTTTTTGTAATAAGCATTAATGAATCGCGAATAAGATACCCTTTATATCTCATATATATATATAAAAAAACACGTATAAAAAACCCTCGTTCTAAATCAGTTTAACATAATTTGCTTCAAGAAGGTAAAATACATGATTCAATAATTATTGTAATGAGATGTATAAGATAAAAGAGACGTTTTTTTTTTTTTAAAAAAAAATAATAATAATTAGATAGTGAGAGGTTTGGGGGTATTGTTGCAAGAATAATGGATTATAAATTGAATCCTTGAGGTCTTCTTGGTTGATTTGGATAAGCAAATGGTGATTCATGTAAGTGGAACTCGTTTTGATACTCTACGGGAGCCAAGTTAATTTTGTTTTACTATGCCATTTTTTAAAATAAAAAAACTTACTGTGATCAAAGTCCGAGGTAGTACTATTTGGGATAAATTCGAAGGCATGTTGAGTAGAAGAAGCTCTTCGAATAGGTAAAGTGTCAAATAAGTCACGGCCGCCAAAGAATATATCAGGCCATGATTTATGATGCTGTCCACCATTACTGTTACTACCGGGCGCATTGAAAGAAGGTTGCATTTTCGATGGATTCATCATGAAGGAGGGTTGCTTAAATTGATAAGGGGGTGAAGGTGGTACATTTTGGTAAGCACCCAAGTGCATGTTTTCCATTTGCATCATAGGAGGAATAATCTAAGCATAATTAGCATCATTTTTGGAAGGGAAAGATCAGAAAAACTTACGTTATTGGATTGAATACGAGGCGAAGCCCAAATATTTTTTCCTGTTGGCTGAGGAGCGGAAAGTAAAGAAGAAGGAATACCATCATGGGGATGGAACGAATGGTGCGAATCTGACAAGGGAGGACTAGGCATGCTGTCCAATATAGAAAGACCGTCTGATAGATGCGTGGCATTATTGTCAATATTCGTGTCATCTTGATTTACAAATGAGGGTGAAGAAATCAAAGAAAGAATATTTGTATTATGGCTGTTACCATGTTCAGCCAAGTCTGGCTGATGCGTAGTATATATGGAGCTTAAAGTTTTCGGCACGACTACATCAAACGAAATTCCCTTTGCTGCAATAGCAGATTGAATCAATTCCTTTGCCTTGCCAAGTTCAACTTCCTGGCCAGATTTGTAATGTAGGCGATAAACAACAATATTGTGACTTTCCTCGTAGCATGAAATCCATTCAGAAAACTCGGTATTGGCGTTAGATTGGTCCAAATGTTGCACAATTAGTTCCACGTTGGTAGTACTTTGAAGTTTTTGTTGTAACGGTATGACAAACTCAGGTGCCAGCAATAATTTTTCATCCTTGATATCAAGAGCAATATGATTTTCAATGAACACAAATTGTTTAATAAACATTACAACAGTCGAAATTTGTGATTGTGGACCATATATTACTACTTGATTTGAGCCTAGCCGCTCGGGCCACCAAATTTTTGCATTGTTTGTACGACATACCTCACGCAATTGGGCACCATATTGGTTTGGAATAGACCTGTGTAAAACATATGGAATACACATGGTTGTAAAACTATATTCTTTGTCTTTTTGAAAGCTGATAAACTCAGTTACAGAATGTTTGAGATTTTCAAGATTGATCTGGTTCTTCATTGGAGTGCGTGCCACTACGTTATCTTCATTTTCAAAGTATCCACCCATGGAGGTGAACTCTTCTGCACCCGAAAATTTGACGTATACACCGTATTTCTTCATGACCTTCTGTATATTTTTTCCAGCTACACCAATGATGCGACGATGATAAATCTCGGGAACATAAAATGAGGTTTCCGCAGGTAATTCATCTTGTAACATGGTGAGACCATCCAATGCCTTGTTATAATTATTACTTTCAACAATGATCGCCGAATTATACTCATTTGCACTTAAGAATCGGATGGTAACAGCGCACGATTTCATAATCTTGTTAATTTTACCATTCTTTTTTCCACTTATGAATTCACGCTGATCCGTAGCTAGTTCCAATGCAAATGTTGTAAATTGATGATTTTCCTGCAGTTGGGTAAACAATTTTTATGTCAGTTTTTCTTAAAAAAAAAAAAAATATGCGAGGAAGCAAACAAACCTTAAAAAAAGGCATACCACTTAACAGTTGATATGCATTTCGAACCTGTCTTTCTGTACCAAACAATTCCAGCTTATTAGAGTCAGATTTAAATAGAACATCTGCACCAGAAGATTGAGATAACTGACAAAGAATATCCGCAAATTTTTCGATTGAGCCACCAAATGTGCGATGAATAAATGAATCCAGAGAGTCCACGTTAATAAAATCAAATGTCGCTTCGTATATACTTGAGGTCTATATAATGATTAATATTTGTTTTATTACAAACAAAATTGTGATTTACCAAATAATTCAATAGTCGAATTGAACGTTCAACGTTGATTCTATTCTCCGCATAGATGGAAACAGAATTACTGCCAGAACCTAAAGATGGAAATAAAAAAAAGGAACCTAATAGGAAATTTATTAGCTGGATCAAAAAGAAAATCGAAGAAAGAGAGGCTAATATGATTTACCATTATCTCTCATGATTTTTCGAAGGTCTGTCTTCTTATTTAACAGAATCCAGTCAATTTTTCTTGCGTCCATTATGGAATCTTTGTGATACATAGATTTAGACTATTAGAGTTATGAGCACAAGTCCAGTAAGTAATCATGATTTAATGTTTTGTTTTACCTTTTGAGAGGCTAGTTTGCATAAGAGCTCTTTTGCTCTGTTTAAATTAGTCATGGATTCACCCGTAAGATAGATAGTAGGTGATTTTTTTTCATTGTCAATGATTTTACAGGTATTGTTAAAGGGAGATTGCAAATAAATATTTGTTGCAGTTTCTTCCATAATCGATTGTAATTGAACGTGTTTACGCCCAGAAACGAGATTATGTAGATAGTATGGTATAGTATCCAGGGTTTCTACCAGCAATCCAGACTAGAATATTCGAAATAAAAATTGAGTAAGCGAATAAGAGGTAGCATTTACTACATTACCAATTGATCTAATAACACGAGTATTTGTACGCGTGCAGACTCGATCATGTCAATTGATCCTAGCAAATGAATTTCTGGTTCAGCTGCTGAATTGACTACTTTTAACTCCACATTATTTTCTTTGGCGACTCTGGTCAAACTAGTTTTAATTTCCGGATGAAATAAAGCATTGATGTTTGGTGAGTTTATAAGTAAAACAGACTGCGGCGAGAAGTGTTAGTAATAGCTCTTGAACCTCCCATCCATTTGTATTTATTCTGGAAAATTTTACCTTGACTGGACTATTACGCAGTAGTTCGCCTCTGATAGCCATTGTTTGCCCCGAGAGTAAAACATTCAATGCATTTTCTTGTTGTAGAGGGGTGAACTGAACAACATTTCCGTACTTGTTACTAAATTCTTGTATCAGCTGATAGTTAATGCTACTTTTATCATAAAAATGAGAATTTAGACAAAACGAAAAGATGCTCATTTCGCTATGATAAAAAAGAAAGTGAAAGAGAAACGTCTGACACCCGAAAAAAAAAAGGTTATTTTTACGCCTCGAATTTAATGACCGCAGAGTGTTACAAGCACGGGGATTCAATCTCGGAACCCATTTTGTGGTTCCTCATTACCTGTGTAGTTTTTTTATCAAGTCCAAACAATCATATAGCCTATGTAGCCGCAGCAGGTCATAAATATTGCTTCCAATCAAATACAAAAAATAGTGTGGCTACCACCGATAGGATATGAGAACCCGTAACTTGATTAATTATCCCTTCAAGCTTCTCGAGTATTATGTAGTAGATGCGAAATTTTAATGCTACGTAGATGATGTAAGTTTCTCAATTTGATTGTTAAAAAACTGTTTTTTTCTCGGGTGAAAACCAAATATCATTTATTACTGCAAAAAAAAAAAGTCTAATAATCACACGATGTTTCTAGCAAACTACTGAAAATGTAATCGAGCAACTATCGCTATGCAAAGTAACGCTCACAGGATACGATTTATTGGCTATCCGTATATTTATCAATTATAGTTTGGCGTAATTTAGACATGCTAAACTTAAAAACTTTTGTCCATTTAGATAAGAATCTGTTTGATTTGTGTGTATACAAAGCAAGTTATTGTGTCATTTGATAAAGACTTTATATTCTTGGTTACTTAATTGACAATTGTTTTATGGCTCTCTAAAATGGCAAATGTAGCATTGATAATTTCTGTTTTGACCAAGGAGCTTAATTTTTCTTCCGATTTTGTAATTAAAATAATCATTTTAGTGCTACAGACGGCAACATTTAAACGATCTCTTCTTTCATAGCTACTTGAATCAAATAATAGTAATTAATGAGGGGCTATAATTGGTATATGCCCTTTCATTATATTTAAAGATGAAGTCTTAATATCATATCTCAATATATTTTTGGTTGTATCGACGTATCAGTTAAATCACCACGTTGTCCGGTTAAAAGCAATTGATTCAACTTTTATTCGATTAACACGAATTGAGTGGATAACATCATGTTTTAAAGCATATCAATCTGTAAAAGAGGTACAGCTATTCCATTTTTATAAATAAATAATTACCTCACCCTGACATAAGCCAGTCATTGTTTATTATTCTCATAATAAACAAAATTCACTTACTTTTCTTCTCTCTTTCTTGTTCTTTTAAATGTTATATTAATGAAAAGTTAGTTGCTAGCAGACTCTTTTATTCTCAAAGTAAGGATAATTATTATACATGATTCTAAAAGGTCATCTTTTTACACGTGAAAAGCTGTGCTCGGGTTTTCGCGAGGCACCGGTGATATCAGGTCTACACATAGTTGCCGCTATATGTTGCTGACTCCAAGACACGTTTCTAGCTTTGATATGGATGGTATAATACGAATTTTATTTGACTGTAATAACAAAAACACGTATTCAAATCTATGTAAAATTGTCTCAAATTATACACCCTCAAATTATCTTGTGATTGGCGTCGACCCCCATCCAACGTTCTCAAAGAACACAAGAATAATTCATCATAAAAAGTCTATATAAGTGGCAGAAACTGTTGCTCTCAACTTAATCCTTATGATATACTGAGACGGTGCAAGCAAGTGAGATATAATTTCTATAAAGTAAACAAGACGTATTCCAGCTGTAGACAGGTAGTCCCATCTATATTAAAAGTTTATTAAATCTGGACACTATTATACTACGCCTCTCCACAAACAATTTATCTATAAGCTAAACTTGATTTTATTTATCCAGAAATCATGCGCTGAATGTACTTGGATCATTTAAAAATCTTGCTGACCCTTTTATAGATCGAAACACTTTTACGATTGACGAAATGTTATACCCCTTCAGAAAATGAGCACATCGACACCTTATTTTACTATAATAGTGATCTAAATCCAAATGCGGTTAATAATGTTCTATTCGAACTTATGATAAGGTCAGGCTGCTTTGATACAGAAGAAAACCCAGTAATACCAATAAACTGCAGCTTCAGCCCACGAATTTTAAAATCGGAAGAAGTAGAAACTGTATCTCGCTTCTTTTTAAATCTAGGCTGGGAAGGCTGTTTTTACGGCTATGAGGGCGACAAAATTTTCGGTGCACTATTTAAGAGTATAAAACCATAACGGGCAGCTAATTTTACCCAGCAAAGTAGTTGTAGAAAAAAAAAAGAGGAGATTGAGACCGGATTACTTAAACCAAAAACTGCAAAATTGATGTATATATAAAATTGATGTCCAATACATTTCAACCATCGATATGCTCTTTTAAGCTTTTACAAATTCGGTATAACAAAAGACAGAATCCTTTTTTTCACCAAGAAAGACAGCGAGTTACTGAAGCCATGGTTAATCTTTTGTCCAAAAAGGTAAACAACATGTCTTGAAATTAAAGTTTTGCAACTGGTAGATCGACAAGTTAGAAATTGAATCCCTTGATTGGCTGATAGAAAAAAGAAATATTTATATTTTTTTCTCAGTCTCCAATTTTTCAAACGCAAATCATTTTGTATTTTTCCACAACCATATTAGGTGATTCATAAAGAAGTTATTATGAATTTGTCCGATCTTGTTCATCGAACTGCAGGAGACAATAAAGTGTTGACAACAGCAAGTAAAACCTCATGTAATGTTCGAGGAAATAATAATTTGTTTCAACAAGGTCCATCTACAACAAATAATGGAATGGAGCCCTCTTCCTTTTTATTCAACATGCCTAACGTAACTCCAGTAGGTCCCCTTCCGTGTATACTTTTACTGAAGCTAATCTATATTATTTAGTCTGAATGGATGAAAACCAATTTATTTTTCAACAACACTACTGACCTGGAAACCACACCTGGCTTTCCTTTCAACGAACCTGCTAAAGATACGGCTCAAAAACCATATGCGACGCAAAATATTGTACCATATACCAATGCGAATTTTCAGCGATTTGATGCACCTGCTGTAAAGTCACCTCCCACAAAGTCACCTTCTACAAAGTCACCTTCCACAAAATCACCTTGTTCCCCACCTCCCATTGTTAAGAAACCGCCCGAAAAGACGACAAAAGTCACGATTACAGGAGATAACGTATCTTGTGATACGATTGAGGACGGCTACATACAATTTGTATTAGAACACGATCCCAATTACATCAGTGATGGTATCGAAAGTCTAATGTATGCAAAACGGAAGTTCTCTTCTGTGCCAAAAACAGGTGATTTATCGTATACCACATGGGATATATACCAACTTGTACTTAAATTACACAAAAAAGAAGTATGTGTGTATATTATATGTGACTAAGTTTCTGTGCTCATACTAAAATATGTACATGTATATATATATAGATAAAAAATTGGTCTCAATTAGTAGGACAATTAGGATTGGTAGATATGGCAGGCAGACCTCAATTTGCTCAAAGAGTGAAACGATGGATGCATCGATACAAAATAGACTCTTACTTCGATTTTTTGCTTGGAAACAAGTATTATTTCAACGCACCTAGTGAAAAATATTCCAGCTGTCTAATGATGGGCAACTATAAGAAACGAAGACCGAATGTGGAACCCAATATTGAATCCCAATCAGACGAAGAAGATTTCGTATCCGATGAACATAGAATACCCATATTGTTAGCGGGAAGTAGAAAGAGAATGAGGGATCACAGCCAAAATAGTGTCCAACTCATTGAAAACGCCAAACAGTTTCTGAGAACAATTAATACAGATGAATCAGATGATGATGAACGAGTGACTGGTACTGAAGAAGATTCGGATGGGGATATTGCCATGATTGGACATGAAGAAGAGGGAGATAATAATGACGAGGGAGAAGATGAAGTAGATGAAGAAGAAGAGGAGGAGGAAGAGGAGGAGGAGGATGAATTGGCTTCTACTTCATCATCACCAGGCTCACCTACCATCTTTGCAACAAGAGTACATCCAATGTCGCCACCACCAAAAAAATATCATTGCCTACGCCACCTTCTTGTACGAATTGCACACAACACGAAAGTACAATCATATCCATGAAGAAAGAGACTAGTCGGCTAAAAGCTTACATTGCCACTTTGGAAAGTACGATACAGCAGCAATCCTCGATGAATGACCAAATGAATAAATTATTAAGGCAGAAAGCTCGCAGTGAAAGATGGAGAAAGCAGTTGATCGAAGATATAACCAGAGGCCCTTCGCTTACTGACGAAGAAGACGAAGACGAGTTTTCAGATGGCCAGGCTTGATTCTACACAAATACACATTCACTCACACTCACACTTTTCTCATTTTGTATTATACTAATTGTAAATTTTTTTACCCCCCGCGCATTACACATAACTCATATATTAAAAATAAAAAAATACCTGGAAAAAAAAAACTTTACGTCTTTACAATGTTTCAATTCAATCAAGACTCTAGTTGGCTTGTTGAGCTACAACAATTAAAAGGTATTCCTAGGTACGATATTCTTAAGAGTAAAGCAATTTATACAGCAGTCTAGATATTCGTTGGCAGCAGCACGAGCTTAAGCTAGAACAGCTTTCGAATCAGCCCTTCAACCTGCTTCGATCCATTGCAGAGTCTGAACCGTTACCAGTAGCTGAATCCGTGACTACGACAGAAACTTCAGGTATGGAAGACGACATGGAGTACGAAGAAGACGATATTTGGACCAGTAATGCTATCCAGACGACATTCAACACATTATCGTGGGATACACATAATGCTCATTATCCTTCATTTGCGCAAACGAAACTTGCTCAAAAAAACATTGGCACACCTTTTTTGTCAGAAGCCCCGACCAGTTTATTTGAACCTGTTGTTCAGTCACGAACGGATACGACAGCTCAAGTAGTCTATGAATCAAAACTGGTAAAAAGTTTAATTCAAGCCATGGTTGGATTACCTTCCATTTATTTCGTTTGGAATCATAACCGATTTGAAATGTTGCCTATTCGAATATTAGGTGTGAGCGCGGTCGCTATCCAACCCGTTTTAAAAGATATTTTATTATTTGGAACAAGATTAAGAAGAATCGAATATGTCGCACATATGTGTAGAGATAACCCAGAACGTTATGGATTAACAGGCTTAGCATTATCATCCTGTCTATCACAGCTACATGTCAATATGCAATATACACTCGTTTCAGTATTTGAAAAAGAGGATCATGTTACTGTACTAAGACTTTATGAATACGTGAATGATTTATCAACGCTAACCAAGCAATTGTGTGATTTATGTTGTGTTGATTCCAATTCGCAGGTCAGACGTAAACCGACACGCGCTTCATTCACTCTTATTTTCTTACCTTTGTCTCATTAGTTAACTAGAGAACAGAAAGATCACGTTAAAAAGTATGGATTTTATTTGCCGTTCGGTGTTGATATTTTGAATCTGTTGTATGCTGAAATACAGCAATCTGATCTTGCGCAGTCTGGAAATCATGCATTGTACAGAGATGTTTGTTTATCTTTGCTGTGTCAAGCCAGCGAACCCTACAATAGTATACTCAGTAGCTGGCTTGGCCTAGAGTCAAGTGGATTTTTGGTGGATCCATACAGCGAATTCTTCATTATGACACATGGACATGTACAAGATTTATTAAAGCGATTCCAGGTATGCTGTTTTGATGTGTCTATTTATTTTTCTTTCAAACTCTTATCGATGTAGATTCGAGAAAATCCCAAGCTGCCATATTTTATAAACAGTGAATTATCAGTTTACATATTTCGATCTGGACAGTCACTTCAGTTACTAAAAAGGACAAGACCTGATCATCCCTTGTTCGATTTAAATGATTCTTTGTCGTTAAAATACCAATTAAAAACTGCATCAAGTGACGAGTAAGTGTTACACGAAGTATGCATATATGTAAGTTAATAAAATGGGATTACAGATACATGAAAAAACTTCTGCAGACATGTCAGCGCATCGAGACTTCAAATGTGGAAGTAGAAACCATAGGGACACAGGAAACCACTGACGTTGATATCTCAATGGAAGATGACATGATACCACGCTTACAATTTCTTGACTCGAACCCCGACCTAGGGGGAGATTTCTTGGTGCTGTTGACAGAATTGATCAAACATGAGCAAGAACCAACAAGCTTTATACCCACTATTGATACTATCACCTGTCAGAGTTATTTAAAACCTTTGAAGGTATGGTGCCCCTTGTTAAATTCTTCTTTCATGACATTCTTTTTGCACGAGTTTAAACTTCAAGAACATCTGTCATTACTATTCGATTATTATTTATTTGGAAAAAGTGAGTTTGTCATTGGATTGAAAGAAACTTTTTTTAAATCGCGCATTCAGCTGGAACATGAAACATGTTGGCCACCGAGGCCTTATCAGCTAAATGCAGCATTTCGAAACTTGTTGCTGGAAGAAAAGTTAGTTTCATTCTCCATACGTGAATCCACTGAATCTAGTGTCTGGTTGAATCCCACTTGTAAGTGATTTTTTTTTTTTTTTTTTTTTTTTAAAAAAAAAGGAAAAAGCGGGATTATCAAAAGACTAAATTTATATGCATGCAAAGCGGTGGAAGCACTGGATTTTTTAGAGTTAAACTATAATGCAACATACCCGCTTGATATTGTCATTACACCAGTGATCATCAGCAAATATAACCGAATCTTTACATTTCTGCTGCAGATACTACGAGTGAGCGCAGTCCCCAAGCGAAGTTTCAGATATCTAAAAACCACCCAATGGCATCAGACAAATGTCCGAGACAAGATATTCCGCTATCGCTTTCAGATGGATCAATTTATGAACGCTGTACAAGGATATGTTCATGACACAGCGATACAAGGTACATGGTCACGATTTATGGAGCATGTAGAAGGCATGAAAACATCATCAAATGATGTATACTCTCTTATTATGGAACCTCATACGTTTAAAGAGTATCACGAACATGTATTGGACTGTATTTTGTATCAGTGTTTTTCTAAAAAGAGTCAATTACGTGTACTAAATACCTTGTATCCTATCATGCATGATATTGTCATCTTTGGTGCTGTATTGGATGATTATACCGTATTAGATTCGAAAGCGGAAGAAAAGTTGATGATGAAGTGTAAACGAATATTTCAGCAGTTTGATAGACATGTAACGGTGTTTATACGTGTGCTACATCTGATTGAAGAAAAAGGGTCAGGAAGATTAAGTAATATCCTAAACAATACTAGTGTCAGTATATTTAAGGATTTATATGCCAAACATGAAGCTAAATTGGCCGTGGATGTTTTCGTGAAAGATTTAATCGTTCGTTTGAGTTTAAATGGTTTTTATCACGATTGAAAATGAAGAAGATTGTTTATCTACGCGGTCAATTAAAAAAATAAAAATAAAATTCGTTATCAATAACAACAAAAAGCAGGATCAGATGCGCAAATCTCTCCAGTATTTACTGCTCTTATCATAAACAACGTGGTTCTAGCCTGTTCATCAATAAGAACAATCTATTTTCTCACGCTTGATTGCATGGGTCACACCACTCGGAAGGGGTAAAAATTCATCTAATATTTCCATAAATAAACCAAAAATTCTTGGTATTACGTTACCACATTTTGTTTGCACTGATATAAAATGGCGAAAACAATAACAGAAACAACAAAAAGCGGACGATCAATTTTCATAGTCGAAACGCATGAAAACAAAACCTTGTTAGCGAAATGTAGCCAATGTTTAAAAAAAACATAAAATCTATGCAGACTTCTAATATCCGATGTACTTGTCAGGGTCACCTTTCAAAAGGGGCTGTCAGAAACATTTCTATTTCATGATTTTTTTTGGCACAACAGTGCTACAAGCATTTGATTGGTTCAGTCGTGAGAAATTACTGAAAATAGGCATTTCGTTCAACTTGCCTGTCTGCCCCCACAAAATCCTGATTGGTAGATACATTTTTTTCATATAAAAAGGGAGCTTAAGATAAAGGTCCTTTAGATTTTTTTTTTGAAAAATAAACCAACATTTTTATTGTAATGCATCGTTTTGTACGTCCTGTAGCTTGTCTTCCATTGCGCACACCATTTTTAAAGTCTATTGTCCGACCACAAGCTAGTATTAGATCATATACCACAACTAATGTCATCAAATCACGTATTCCATTCAAGACAATTTCAGCAAGCATTGCTCTTACCTCAGCTACATATTATTATTTAAATTCAATTCCAGGTGCGCAAGCTGAACCCGCCTTCCATACAAGCAATGGCAGTAACATAATTTCTGAACTTAGAAACGCTTCTAGCCGTATCGCAGTTGAGGCTAAATCTACTCAAGAATTGGCCATGGGATTGTTTGTTTACAAATTATGCACATTACCTTGGCTTGTAGACGCTGCTCCTTATTTAATTTCTTTTTCCGAGAAACTCCATTTGCAAGCTCCTGTTTATTGGTTCGTCAAGCAAACCTTCTTTCGCCATTTCTGCGGCGGTGAAACCTCCGATGAATGCATTTCTACCATGGACAAGCTTGCTCAATCAAACATTAACTGTATATTAGATCTATCTGTTGAGGCTGATTTACATTTAGATAAGGAAGATCATCACGTTGATGGTCAATCAAAGTATCACCGTGACGAGCAGCAAGCCGATGTTATTCTCCATTTGATAAAGAACTGCCTTCAAACCGCCGCCGGTGGCGTAAAAGCTGGTTCTATGGCTGCAATCAAAGTTACTGCCTTCTCACCTCCTGAGCTCCTTCTTCGTGTAAATCAAGTAATTACAGCACTTGATCAAACATTTTTGGAGAACCAGCAGAATGGAAACATAAATGCTCAAGGCATTCGTAATGTCATAGATAAGCTTTTACCAGCCCCGGAAAACCAAACCCAAAGAGAGCACCGTGATACCATCGTTTCTCATCTCGAAAGTGAACAAGCTACTTTGGACGTTATTGAATTCAGAAAATTATTTAACTTACAAGGCCCTGGTCGTGATATCTGGTGGAAAACAAGTATAAATGACAATCATGGTGCTCCTTTAACTGCTGAAGATTTGGAAGCATATGATCGCATGGTAGATCGTTTGGAACAGGTATGCCAGTTAGCTCATGACTTGCAAGTGGGCGTAATGGTTGATGCAGAACAATCCTATTTTCAAGATGCTATTGATCATGTCGCCGTGAATCTACAACGCAAATACAATGAACAAGAACGATCTCCTACTGTGTATAATACCTGTAAGTTTGTTATTCGAAAAAAAAAACCATAGATTAGATAGGAAATTGACTTTATTTCTTAGACCAAATGTACACCAAATCATCTCGTGGAAGACTTGAATTAGATGTTGAGCTTGCCAGACGTGACAAATTTACTTTCGCTGCCAAGTTGGTACGAGGTGCTTACATGGTGTCAGAACGCAAACGCGCCGGAGAAATGGGATACGTCTCTCCCATTCACGAAACATTGGAGGATACACATGATTCTTATAATGGTGGTGTCAAGTTTTTGTTAAATAAATTAGGCGAATACCAACAAACTACGGGCGAATCTGTTACCAACACAACTTCACCCATTATATTTATGGTTGCTAGCCATAACCGCGATTCCGTAATCACAACTATTGAGGAAATGGAACGCAACAACATCAATGCTCGTGCAGGAATTGTTCATTTCGGACAGCTGTTCGGAATGCAAGACCAGTTATCTTATACCTTGGGTCGTAATGGCTACTCTATTTATAAATATTTACCGTATGGTATGATTGATGAAGTGATCCCTTATTTACTCCGTCGCGCTCAAGAAAATTCCTCGGTCTTAGGCGGCGTAGCAGTTGAACGCCAGTTAATGTGGGATGAGTTAAAAGGTCGTTTGACTGGTACTGGCACGTCTGATGTTTCCATCACTAGTTCCGTCTAAACCTATATCCCCCATCTCCTCTGATTTGTATTATATTGTGTATTTCCCACTCCCCCTGTATTAGATCTTTTTTAATAAAACTACATTTTTATTTAAAGAATATAGACGTGGAGAAATTTTAGAAATGAGGCAGTAAACGTTTGATGCCACAATCTTCTTTTTGACATCGAGAACAGCTTCTTTTGATTTAGATGAAATCAAAAGATGAACCAGTAACGCTATAGTGCCACACACAATGATTGGTATATTACATTTGTTTTTAGTTGTACTTTCATACCGTCACACTTGTTGGGTGACCCAGAAACTTTGTCAATTTAGATGATATGCAATCTGATATATTTGACTAAAAAGTGATGGTGAGACTTACATCTTGTTTAAACAAACATTAAAACACATATATACATTGAGTTTTACACTATTAGACGGTTGATTTTTCAAATTGTTTTTGATACAGAACATCCCAAGCCACGTTGTAAATACAAAAATATCCTTTTAAAACTAAGCAATAGCTTTTTTAAATGATACAATAAACGAATGTTATTCCGACTACAGGGACAACTGGAATCGACAATACCCCATATTAGTAATTTTTTTTATAAAAATTACGCCTGCGGGGAAGTATACCCGAGGACTGCTAGCATAAGCTCCGAGTAGATGGGAAAAATGAGCGATAGATCCCCAACAATTATAGATTATGTTGAACCTTGCGAGTAGAGTCAGATAGTTGGTACATTGGTTTTTTAGTGTATACCTGAGTTCAAAGGATGTTTATGTACAGTTAACAGGGCTTCCGTTAGGTGCCATGGCGGAAACAATTTGTCGTAAAAACAAAGGTTTACTCTTTCTCTAGTGAATTCTTGATCCCAAAATTTAGCGTCTCTTGTTTTTCGTAAAAACTTTGTGTGCTGTTACCAATACCTCTTACCCCTATACTTTGGGTTACATGTATTGAAAAAGGAGCAAAGCCCGAATGTCTCCGTTCATTGAAATAATATAATCGATGTTGCTTTTATCAGTTAAGCCCCTCTCGTTATCTGTACATTTTACAAGAAAGTTTGATAACGGGTAGCTTGATAATAAAGTATCACATTTTTAACATGGATTCATATAAACCGATTTTTAGACCTGTACGCATAACGTTGCATTGAATTATCAACATTTGCTAAACTCCCAACGACTCTGCATAAGGCGCGGGAAAGGTCGGGACGGACTTTTGTCTAAAATGTCCCTTTTTGGCAAAGGTGATCCCAAGCCAATTATGATTTACAAATAAACCTTAAAACTCTAAACGAGGGTATGGAAACTGGAGAAACATGCATTTCTGTCAAACAACAGAATTTTTTTTTATTATTGGGCGCAAAAAAATCATCGTATTGTTTCAACATTAATTTCGGCTCTTAATCCGAAAATAGTTTTTGAAGTGTTCTCAATCATACGTTGGATAGCTTTTGAGGTCATGAGATATGGTCTAGTTTCGTGTATGCAAGAGTCCTCATTCTGGGGCTCGATTTCAATTGGCATAATTTCCCAATTTCCAAACAACGGGTCTAACAGTCGCAATTGATTTCTTCCCAAGAATATTCGAAATCTCTTGCTGTTGACATAGTAGATCTCGTCTCGCAGGATTACTAACGCGGTACTCGTCTCATCGACATTGTCAAGGTTATATTTTACGGATTGCTTGATATGATTCAATACTCTGTGGATGTTTACGTTTGATTCGATGATGGGGGCCAGCTCTGTCCATATTTGAATAAGGCGACTGTAGTTCATAATTAAATCTTCACAATCCGATTTCTCGTCTGACATTCGATCTTGCCATTCATTTCCTAATTCAATGCTAGAGCATTTCTTTGATAGGTTAAAGGTCATTTTTAAAGCAAGTAATAACTGCGTCTTGGTATTGATCAACTCCCCCAATTCTATAATTTCATCAAAATATATATGGCGACGTGTAGTACTTTCAACGATGGCTTCGAGCCTATTGGTGATGTAGCTTGTGGGCATAACATGGCACATATGAAATAAAACAAAATTTCTTTCAAAACTCCACAAAAACTTCTCGGCGAGTTCGATTTGCTCAAAAACTGGAATACAAGCGCTTTTTATTTGTGCGATACCAAGCGAAATTAAAGAAGAACAGCCATCCATACAAGACTCTTGAATCTTGATACAGGATTCGACGTAATCCATGAGCTCTTCGATATGTGCTTTTTGTGAGAAATAATGGGAGCGGTATTTGCATAAGTAATTGTAAGATGCATTTGTTGGTGTAATTGGAGCTGCCTGATCTTCGCCATGAATATCGCAATAATCAGTGTTGGTGTTATACCCAAGAATTGATGTGTCACCGACGGCTTTAGTTTCAGGCCCGTGTTCCAAACCAGATAACAGACAAGGAATTCTTTTAAACCCTGTAGTAATGGTTTCGATTTTATACATGATTGCTTCCAGTAATCCTCGAAATCTAATAGAGTCTATTTCGTTTAATGTCTTAAAAGACAAAATTAAATTATCAATGAACGTTTTCTTCTCTTTGTATTTTGGTGACTCAGATTGTAAGAAGAAAATGCATTTGGTGATTCTCTTAGTGAAACTTGTAGATGAGCATAGTGTAGTTCTGTTACCAAGACAGACCAAAACGAAATCAATCACAAACGAATCATTGCAGACACAAAGTAAGTTTGCCAAGGCGCGATACGCGTTCATGTCGTCTAAAGGAATTCCTAATGCATTCACGATCAGATGTGCCAAAGCTCCAGCAAGTGGACGAGATGGTTGGTCATGAAGGTAGTTAATCAAAATTTCGGGATAGTTATCAACTATCTCAAGTAAGACTGATTTTGAGTATTCGGCATCACTTTGATTGGTGCAATAGGCGGTGAGTGGAGGAAGACCACAGGAACTAAGCCAGAGTTGGATGTTGCGGATAGCACCTTGAATAGCCACAGAACTATGCTTGAAATCGATTGGTTCGATGCGGTCATCGTGTCTTGCACCAGAGCTAATGTATTGGTATAGACCTTCATAATCACGTTAGTTTGTGTCACATTTATTTTCAAGTATGCTTACCGTAAGTCGCGCTTGCTAGCATAACTACCAATGCCATTTTGGAAACTTTAGTCTGTGTTATAACATATGCTAGAAAAGGCGGATTTTAGAAAGTTTTATATTAGAAAACAAACAATATGCCGAATTCTCATTATTGGGGTTTTTAGAGGATTATTACAAAGGGGGATAATGTACAATGAACAAGGTTTAGCGTGAAATAAGGTTTTCCGAGTTTTCAATTTTCGAATAAAGGTGCCAATGGATCTAAACCTCTTTCAAAGTGGTTACACGAATATCGCTGTCAAATCCGCGGTTGCACAAAGCATTTTTATGCAGATGACTTTCATCCAATAATATCTCTTGTAGTTTTATATCACAATAAACACGCTGTTGTTTGGAGCTAATGCGTAATAATGATAAACAATGCGTCAAAGAATTAAAATTAAACAAAATGGATGACAACAATAACCTAAATCCAACTTTACATGCGTTAGACTGGTTTAATTATGTATGTCATTCTTAATCGTCACAATCGGCTTTTGTGTAGATAAATTTGCCAAGTTAAGTTATAAACCTCAGTGTAATTGCAAAACAAAGGTGATGTATCATATTCTAAATAATTCCAAACATACTACATTTATTGTCAAAATTTAATGACAACGTGTCAAAGAACTTAAAAAAAGTTTCGTAGCTGGGATAATTCCTTTATAACTCAATCAAGATACTTCTGAAGAACATGGGCAATCCTCATTGATACCAACATTAAATAATGCTATCTCCTCATTAACAATACAAATTGGGCAATGCCTTTATTAGCACTGGTTTTTGTGTTCTATTGTCTGTATGCTTAATACATATTGTGCTATTATGTAGGCTTTTTTTTTTGGCCTGTGCCAAAATGGAAATGCCTCCAAAGATGAACGCAAATATCGGCAGGTTTCTTTCCGTGTATAGCATAAGATAAGCATGAAACCTCAAGTTGACCATTATATTGTTTTTATTTACTAATAAGATTCAAAAATATCCATAAATTTAAAGACTATTGCTTTTGCTTTTGGGATCGGTAATATGCTGTCTTGACACTCGTCTATTTTGATTAAACTTTGATTAGGCAAAGTTTGAAGATACTTTCCCGATGCAATGAGTCGCAATCTTCATAGTACTTATCAACAAATAGCCAATTTTTGATTACAAAATCATCGAGACTATTCGACAGCATAGATCCCGTTGGCTCTTTCGTGGGTCGTTGATCCTAACTAATAAACTTGATTCAAACAATCCAGAGTATGTTTTCTTGAACTTTCATTCAGAACATGTTCAAGGTTCAAAACCAAAAGCATACATATGATCATAATATCAAACTATTTTACTAAATTGCAATACCCAAATACCTGGATTATGCAGCCTGCGGGAGAAGAGAATCATTTTCTTGGTACCTCGTCATTACTGTTATAAAAGTGAGGAGGACTTCTTCTTTACATTCTATCGCATCGCGCTCTCCTTTGGCAAGTTTTCTTCCCTGTTCATTCTCATAAAAAAAAAATATGTAATCAATCAAAGTTGGTGAGAATAGAAAAACATCCTTTGAGATATAAAACCCGCCTTTTATAAAAAATAAAAATCACCCATTATAATTTTTCAGAGACCGTCCTTTTATTCAAAAGATGTCCTCTGGTACTGCACTTATTTTACAAATATAAAAACTTAAACTAGTATTTTTTAAAAAAAAGTAACATATGTCATGATATGCGGGTGATGTATAAATGAACTGTAACAATTGATACTGTAATTATGCAGGAATCATATATGATCCTGTTATTTGCAAACTATAATAGTGATATCAGCTTTTCAAAAGTAGTATACAAGTGCCTTGATTGTATTTAAAGCTGATCGAAAGGATCAAAAGCTTGGTCTACTACAATTACCAATTTTTCTATCAATAAAATGTACCTAGTCTTTAAGAGTTCCCTGCCAGATATTGATGGCGATGAACAACGATTTCGGCCGAATGATGTTATTTTTTGACCATGTCGTATTTTGGCGCCTACTCTCGCACAACTTTAATCCCAAACGGAAGATTGATGTACGGTCACCTCAATACCAAAATGTTGAAAGTTATATCATTAATTTCGTAACATGTTGCATAAAACATGTAGGCTCTTTCTACTGTCGCCTTGAGTGGAAAGCTCTATTATAATAGCATTCTCATCTTGCTCTTGTTGCTTATTTGTTTTCTGTGACAATGCCTAACAAGTTATAAACTTTAAGGATTATCTTTATGAATAAATGCCGAAAGACACACTTTTACGATTTAATGTAAGTTATATACCTAGTATGTTCAAGAACGTCATTAGCAAAGTTACAGAAACATTTACCGATGACAACAATAATATGTGTAATGTTTTTTTCTCACAGGTCCAATTTGTTTTAAAATTGTCTGGGAAATCATCAATCATGTAAACATCTCTTGATATACAATTCCAAAAAAAGTGCCCCTTGTAGCCCAGTTATAACGTCTTGAGAACAATAGATAATGTTATAAAGCGTCATTCAACTGTCCCATTTTTGGATATATGCTTATAGAGATAACAACATTTCTAGCCCTATACCAACGTCACTATAAAAAGTGCATTATTGCATTGTGGAAATAGCAAGTAAACTGTATATAGAAACTTATCAGGAGAAGATACTATTAGTACGAAGTTTAATTACATGTCATGTTTGTGGTGTAAACAACAGTATATTGATCCTTGTTCCTAAAAATGTATGTTTTTATTGTTTTAAAGGAAAATCTATAATAGTTTGTAACCCGGGCTACTAATAGTTGCTACTTTACCTGTACAATTGAAATATTTACGCTAAAAACGTTTATCATACAAGAGGATACGACTGTAAAACTCTTTTCTTAAATAGATGATAATGTGTTTGATAAAAGAACAACATTAGAAGTATAAAGAAGATGAAAGGGCGGACTCTCCCGTCCCTTAGTTATGATTTAATCAATAATGGGATTTCTATTTCGATAGAAAGCTAATATCTTAAACGCATATACATCTGTAGTATAGCATCTTTGTAGTAATTCAATAATTCAAACCCTCTCCAGTACTGATGATGTTATCGTCGACGTTAATTGTCAGTTATCATACTGTGAATTGAAACAAAATGCTTATCCCTAAAAAATGAAGGCTCAAGGTTTATATATAGTGAAATATTCAATTAAACTTTTTGCTGAGTTCGTTTACATCATGTTTGATTCTTACATGTAGAAACCAAAACATATCCATGCATGGCGCTTAACATATATATTTGTTGCACAACTTATAACCACTGTACCCCTATTTTCATTTACTCGCAGGGAATGTAACAACGAACTATCTGTATTCGTTGAATAATCCCATTTCTCAGACCCATTAAAAGAACGGAGAATCATCATATATTAGATTAGTTTTCTTGGGAGTGATCGACCATATGGTAATAATCTATTTTTACATGAATGGAGGCGTATTTGTATCTCTTTAATTATGGCTGATGTTTAGTTAAATGAATTTTTTAATAATCTGCAAGATTAATTTACATATATTCTTGGCGTTGGTAAATTGCTATTTATAAATATCACCCGGTAGTCGATACGTTTCGACAAAGCTTATCAATGAGAGTATTTAAATTACATGTTTTAGCGACTAGCCAAGCCGTACTATGTCGATCTGTATAAATCAATATTGTTGTAAATCGTGCCATATGCATGACGTAACAGGAACAGTACTTGAAGAGTAATGACTACATTGACATAGTTCGAATGACCTAACAATGAGAGCATTATACCAGTGATATATTGACATATGCGGTTTTTGTTTCTAGAAGTTTATGCATATGTTTCAATTGATGCAACAAAACATGTTCATTCGTGTCACTTAGTACACAATTGAAAAGACACTTGATCAAATGGAACCCCTGGAGGTCATTTATTGAATGCGGGGTTCTTATAGTAAGCCCATAAGTCACTCTTCTTTTTCTACGCAAGTTTCAATAAGGCGCTATCAAGGGGTCAGATATCATTTTTTTTCCTTTTTTTTTGAAACAATTTTAACAGGTGATTTATGTTTTTGATAATCCCAGAAGAAATTAGGGTGAAGATTTTCTTGGATTGATTTTAAAAACCCATCCTACAATGGCGGGTTAAAGAAGCATAAATGTATAAAAATGTATAAACTGTGTTTAAAAAAACACTGCCAAGATGGGATACTATGGCGAATTTGGGGTAAACAAATTTCTTTAAAAGGGTTAAGAACATATAGATGGAGGAGATGATAATAACTAGAATAAGGGGGACTGTAGAGAACGTTTGCTCACTTTTATTCTTTATGACATGACTCTGCAGATAATTCAAATATATTTATCAATCCATTACCAAATGACATCTCTTTACTTACCATCACCTGCTTTCTTTAAAAACTGACGTGTGGATGAAATTGTGTAATGACATGGATATGGTTTTCAGGAGGCGCGTATCATTCTATTTTTTGCTGGTCTGTAAAACAATCTGAAGAAACTGTTCTCCCATTCTATAGGTGATTTTAGATCTGCTTTTTTTTGTACTTTGAATCTTTTCAGGCTTATAAGATGGAGTATAGCGAGCTAAGACTGTCATTTTACTGTTCCTACTGCCAAAAAAAAAAAAAAATAAAAAAAATAAAAAAAAATCATGATGTTTCTAAACCGGCTTGTACTCCTTTGTTTCGCACTGTTTGGGTCACATTGACGTGCCTTGGTAGACCCTAAGTCTGCTTCCTGGGGGAATTAAAAGGACTATGGAACATTGAGATTTAAAAGAAGAAATAAATATGTCAGGGAGATTATCATACACAGTGTAAACTCATATGAACACTTGTATAAAAGGGTCAGTTTTAAGAGTATTCAATGTTACCGAAGGATTTAAAAAAGCTGGGAGTTTTTAAGGCTATATAATAGACGCATTCTTGATTAAAGAGCTTTACCTGGGTAGTGTGGCAATCAGGATGTCTTGTATGATACATATACTTTTTTTTTAAAAAAATGCCTTGTTTAACAAAGATTAAGCGGGTTTGCTACATTTCGATTGGGATTGGGTCAGTTTCAGTTAAGAAAAGATAGGATTCAGGTAACTGAAGAAAACGTGGATGGTACACTTCACAAAGAAAGCCACTTGTGCAACGTGAAACCAAATGGGTGTACAGACGAAGTTTTGTGAAACCTCGTTGATGGATGAATACTTTCACTATATTTATAGCTTATAGCATTTGAGCCAGTTCGATAGAAGAATATCTCACTTTTTATATGGGAATAATTTTTTCAGCAAGCACACTAAATGAAAGGGTTGAGTGTTTAATTATAATTTGCAACACAAAAGACAACAATGATTCATTGTTTTTTCAGGAAGCAAATAAACAGAATGTTCTACCGATTGCCTAGTGAATGGCTGTTTTAATATATTTAGTTCAGAGATTGACAGAAAAGAGCCATATGGCAATCTATTTTTAGATGCAAAAGAAGATTTTTTTTGGTTATGGAGCCACAGTTTGTAGCAATTGTGAATGGGATATGTTACAAGTGTTGTACCAAGACAATTAATTTATTGATTATGCATCCAAATGAATTAGATGAGTCACCCAAAATGGTTTTTGAACAAACAATATGGGATTTCAAAAAGGTTACCTGTACACCAATTATCAATGAGTTGGGGCGTACAAGAAAAAAAATCATGTTTATATTTTATACACAATTCTAGGTCCAGAATCATGTGGCCTAAAAGAAAAAAACCTCCACAATGGGGGGCGGGATTAGCAGTATGTAGCAGACCAGTCCTGATGACGGGTCATCAAAACTATCACTCGTTTTTTTTTCATAGCAAGAAAAGGGTATTTCTTCGGAGTTATTTCATAGGGCTAAAAATAGGATTCAACAAAGGAGACCCAAAAGGAACGTGTCTGAGCTTTTGCATGTATTCTTATTTTGGCAGCTCAACAGCAACAAATAAAAAGGAAGATTTTTTTTTTTCATTTTTCATTTTTTTCCTTTTTTTTTTTTTCTTCTTTTTTTTTCTTCTCTCTTAAAAATACAATGGTCTTTTCATCGAAAATCTCACGCATAAAGTCTGTTCGTCTTGGATTCAAAAGCAAGACAGAAACAACGTCATCATCACCACCACCGACAAGACGTGAATATAATCCCTCTTCACCGGCAAGTAACAAAGTAGCCAGTTTTTCTGAAACGTTACTCGTTATTTCCAAGGAGGCCAAAAACACAGAATTCGATGATGTATTCGATAGCTTCTTCTTTAGTGACAAACGTTGTCAAAACCGTGCACTTTACATGGCAGCCAGATTAAAGGGAGGTTTGGACGGAATCATTAATCCAATTCGACCCAGTTCCAGTTACGGTACTTTAGTGGAATTACAACAGCCATTGGTATTGGCCCCATCTCATTCAACACCACTAAAATCAACACCATCGTCATCGGTAGATGGATTTTGGCGTATGGTAGCTCATAGATTATACACGTTAAATTATATTTTATTTGTTTTACCTTCAGACTCGAAATCTCGTATTGAATTTTTAAATAAAATGGAAGCAAATCTATCCAGGATTGGTGATGGAAACGAAATACATAGAAGAGGTGGAATGGAAGCACATTTTGCTATAAGATATGCGTTAGATCATAAGAGACCTAAACGACGCAAGACATTGTTGGAGGATGCTTTCGAACTGGAAAAGCGAAATGGTGGAAATGTTGCTGGCGCTGTACTACCGACCACCGGCCTGGATGAGATCAATAAAACAAACTCGCTTGTGGAAAAAGCAAGAATCATCATCGAACAGTGTTTAGAAAGTGAATCAAAATTAAGCAATTCAGAAAAGGATGCAATGTATATATTTCACAGTATGAGAAACGGTTTACATGGTGCATTCGAACCTCATATTGAATTAGAAGAAGACAGAAATTTACGTCATAGATTAAAAAGAACAGTTGACCAAAATAACCAAGTTTTAAAAAATCCGTTTGAAGATGAAGATTGCATCGTAACAGAAGATGACAGTAATAAGTCTTCAAGAGAAGTAGATAGTGGTTTTTATGATGGCTGGGCCATATCAGCATAGACAACGAAATAATTATTTAAATAAAAAAATCAAACAGCCATCGTTCCCCCAACCCACCCCTCTCTCTCCCCTTAATTCTGTATTCTTTCCTTTTTCACAAGTATTCTTATACTACGGGTCAAATTAATTACTCAAGATATTTAATTTACTTGCCAACACCCCTTTCTTTCATTATTATTAAGAAAACAAAAAAAAAAAACTCTCAAGTTACACCATGTCTTTGCCTGTCGTCATCGTTACAATGTCATCATGCACGCTAAAAGGCGAGACTCCGGTATATAATCATGCAGTTCCTAACCATCTACCGTAGCGGCCTTTCAAAGGATAAAGGCTGCTTCATAACGGAAGGGAGATCCCGCCTGTTGGACATCTGATGGGCATCTCCCCTTACGTTACGTAATTGTAACACGGTCCCCAAAATAGCATAGGCCTGATATTGTTTGTCTCTTTATGATCTACTACATGTCAATATTACAGCCACAAGTTAACGAGGCATAGTGCATTTTTTTAAAATATGACTGGATGAAACTTTTTGGGTCTGAAGCGATGGAATATTACTGTTTTTTACACATGCTGTAAGCCCAATGTAACATGTATGGTGATCAAACAAATACAAGTTTAATTTTTTTCTTCTTTATTTATAATGTTCTGAATTTCTATACCGATGCAGCCATGCTCCAGGTCTGGAAAACCAAAGTTTTTTCAACATGCCATAAGGCTGACAACCAAGTTGCATTATCAAAGTCAAAACCTTATTATTATGGGCATCCCCATAGATATACGAAAAAGTGTATAGTGCAAATAACGGCAGCAGCACAATTGGCGTCGAGAATGAGACTTACCATTCCAAAGTCAACGTCAAGTCAAACACAAATATCTGTATGTCATTTAATGGAAGGTGATTGCAAAGAAAGAAACATTCGGAAATGCCATCGGTGCAGTTTTAACTTATAACCAGCTACAGTTTTTGATGTATCGATTTGGTGCACCACTCATAGGTATCTGATTTAGCGTTACATTCAAATGTATAGCATTCATTTTCTCTCCAATTTCAGCCCGTGTTGCCCCTCTATTCTTATTAGAATGAGATGGTTTACTTGTCAGTTCTAAGCCTCTGAATGCTGCAGTCATGTATAAAGTTTCTAAAAAAAAAATCCAGATATAGTTATAGCCAATCTTACTTTGACTTGCATAATGATATTGCATCCTATTTGAGGTAGTAGTGGCTAGTTTTCGAATGTTATTTTATAGAGAAAAACATTTCCTTCGGTACATAAAAGGAACATGTAGCGAATGTTCGTGCTCTTTGTCACGAGGCTTTTTTTTTTATTCATTTACTCTCAATACTTCGCATTCTAAAAAAAAAAAAAAAAAAAAAAAAAAAGTTTTAAGGTTCGGCAGGATCTACCAAGGATGTTTCCCTTACATTTAAGATGGTCTTCCTTTTTAAAAGGTCTTGGGGAAGATAAATAATAGAATCCCATCCCGGTTTTCTGAATTGACTTTGAATTGACTTTGATAAGTCTTTGATATATATATATATATATATATATATTGCTTACCTTCAATGCTATTGCCAAACTCAATATAATTTTCATGGGCTAACCTATATCGATGACTTATCAGAGTCTAATACTATATGTTGGCACCCCTAAATGATTATAAATGCGTTTATAGCGAGCATTTCATACATGATTTAGCACGCAGACAAACCACGCCAAGACACCCGAAATGACAAGGTTGTCTGATTCACATAAAGATTTGTCACACTATAGAGATAGGTCTAAAAAACCAGCTTTTAAAACAAGATGTGGTCATGGCGTAATCATTTGTCGTAGCGATTTATTTTTAAATAAAAATTTGTATTTTTAGAATAGATCATAAGGGCTAAAATAGATATCGCAGGTTTCAATCAAGTTAATGTTACAATTGGTCATTCGATGCGTGCAAGCGTTTGACATGGTTGAGTGGAATATATCAGAACTTTCAGGAACATGTTGAGATCGGATAGCTGTAACCAGACAAACACTGCATCCAGGTATGAATTTAAAAAGCTGACACTATTTTTAATCATCAATCGAGATCCGAAACAATTGTATTCGTGTTACCTAAACCAGCCCGATTTTTTTTCTTTTTTTTTTAGATGACCCTAATTTGTGGTCAAAAAATATTTTAATGGAAAAAAACAAAAAGAGTGTGTATAAATAATAATATGATTACAAGAATTAAAAGAAAGAAAAGGATGATTTATCCCAAACTCCAAGTAGTACTGAGCCAGTCAAAAGTAACAAAAGATTCTTCTGAAGAGCAAGAGATTTCAGGAGGAGTCAAGACACCATCAACTTTGGAAGGTTTAGGCATAGAGATAGAGGTTTTATCATCGCCTGAATAGAATGCAGCCATTTTACCGTAGCCTTGGATACTAATGACACGGTATTGAGTTTCACCTAGCAACCAATTCTCCATATAGGCACTGTTCACACCGGGTGTCATTCTAGCCAAATTAACTTCCTTGTGAACCTTGACATCGATATACTTTGCGATTTGATCGGGTTCGATATGTTCAATAGGTAAGCCAGTGATGACCATACTGGAGATATCCAAGAGTTCTTCATTGATGTACTTTGAAGCCAATTCTTTGTTTGTGTTCATTGAAAGGAATTCATCACGCAAATGAGCGGAGTCAGTGACAAGGAAGAAAACAATATGTTTGTGATGAGCTTGTTTTTTATAGGCAGCAAGGTCAGAAGCACATTTCACGAAATGGCCCCACTTCTCCAAGTTGTTAGCATCAAACTGAGGATTAGCAAGAGCGTTATCATCGGTACGGATTTGAATACCAATGGACAATACACTTTCCATAGCAAATAATTTCTTATAGGCGTTCAAGAAACGTCTAGCGCCGATGGTAGGCTTAAATAAGAAATTGGTGAGACATCTAAATGTGTTTTCCTTAGTGAGACCCATTGCGTTTAACTTCTTGGTGTACTTCTTGGACACTTGGAATGTACGAAGAATATAACCGCGATTAGAACGCACTTCAACATACTATTTTATTGTTATTGTTGTTAGTTATAAAAATAAATCTTATGTAAAACAAAATAAATACTTACAGTTCCGTTCCACAACTTCTTCCAATCGGTGTTTTCTCCTCCATCAGGGAATAAAGTCTGTGTTAAAATCTTGGCCTTTCTATTCAATGTGTCTACTTTCTGATATCCAAGCAATTCATTCTTATCGTCAGTGAACAAAGCTTCCATTTCTTCGGGATCGTGTGACCATTCAATATGAGGTCGCTCCCAAATAGCCTCAAGAGGCAAAGGATTTAATTCAGCCCAGTTGAGTAAATAAGCACGATCTGTGAGCAATGCATAAAACATGGTAGAGATCATACCTATAAAAACAAGAAGAGGAGTTATTAAAATTAAGAGCAATAAAGGGGTAGAGCATAAATTAACTTACCACCCATTCTATCAGCCAAACCACCACAACCTCTGTTACTATCTTTGGGTACTTCTTTACAAAGATATGAAATAAATTTGGGTTTCTCAGCCACTTTGATATCTGATGGGAAGATACCATCTTGATAGTTTTTCAATGCTTCCATGTCTGTCTTGTGCATTTTGGTATACTTCTCTTGCCAGTTACCACATTCACCGTTTTCGTTGTATTTCCATTCCTCGGTGAAAGCCCCCAGCTCGGCATCGTATTGACTACAGTAGTCTTGAAACTCTTCGGGGGAGGCAAATCTAACTGCTCTTACCAAACTTTGATGGGGCGTAGGCGGTGTGTATGATCCGTCAGGGCTTGTGGGCATTTTAAGTGTGTTGGGCAAGTAACAACGTCCAGCTTCGTTACTTTGATATTCCGTTTCAGCAGCGTCTTGGGTGCCGTCGTCAGTGGAATACATAAAATCTATTTATATAAGTTCTCGGTTAATATAGGAGACCACGAAAGCAATGCCATTTTGACTTACTTGGATAAAAGATCGAGCTTGCAGCCATGAGCACAATGGCAAATAAACTTACCATCGTTAACCCCTTTGCTAATCTATACTTGAATAGTAAGCTTCCTTTGAGGTCATTTTGAGGTTGAACTCTTTGATAAGCAACGTCACTTGCCATCCTTTAACTATGTTTTATGTATAAAAAAAGGGCAAGATAACAAAAAAGAAAAAAAAAAAAAAGGGAAAATGACATCAATCCCAGCATTATTTATAGTCTAATTTCTTGTGGATCTATCTTTTATGGTGCGACTGTTACACAGATTTAAGTTCCGTTTCATTTATGAGCTGGCCAATTATTTTTCTTGGCTGTCCTATACCATGTTATTTTCATATTATTATGTTTTGTTTTGGCTTTAAAAGAAGCCACAACAATAACAAAGCTTTCTATTTAAGACAGCAGTTTCTAAAGGTAATGACAAAATTTAAATAATCACATTAAAAAAAAAGTTTTACTGATTTTTAGGCTCAGGCCTACCCAAATATGGAATTTGACACTATGATCGACGAGACTTATTTGATGATGCGCCCAGGATGCATACTATCAGTGATAACTAATTTGGTAGATTTCGATACTCTTACCTGTAAAGATTAATTATTTTCTGTCTCACAGTGAATGCTAGGTGGCAGTGAATTTACTCAAATTGTTAAATGGCAATCACCTAATGTCTGGGAGCAAACTAGTAAATTAAATTTGTAATTTATAAACCAGTGTGTTAGGTTGTAAAACTAATTACTTTTGATCGCTTCTGTAACATTTGCAAATCATCACACTCTCATTCAATAAAAATTTTGATGAATTAATGGTATAGTTATCATCCTTCAAAGTAACAGAAGGGAAACGACCTGTGTTCTTCAAAGATAAAGACGACTTTTTAAGCCCTCAGCGAGAAATGTGAAACATGGCAAAACGCTGTATCGATGACATATTTTCTGGAGTAGAAAAAACAAAAACAACCGGACTTAAAGAAACAAGCTAGGTCGAATATCAACATATTTGTTTCATCAAGTAGCTTATTCGACGTAAAGAAGCAAAATAGCTAGCATTTTAACAGAGAGGTACGTATCAATCATCCAAAAACTTGTAGTTCGGAGGCAGCAAAACAATTCCGGAAAAATATTATTGGATAATAAGAACATGGTGAATATCTGATACGGTCTTTTTTGGGGGTTGGATAAGTGTACATTCACTCTCCAATGGTTTTATACTTGGAAAGAGGGAAGGATTTGATAATATAGTGAGATCAGCCGCTTTCAATGAGCAACTTACTCTCCCACTTTAAGTCAGAAGAAAGTGACGATATGCTTAATTAAACTGTTTGAATGAAAACGAATGGTCCGAATAAGGTCTCAGTTTAGTTTATTGCTTATGAATTCGAATGAGCTACATTTAGTAAAGCACTAATGAAAAAAAAAAAGTTTGGTAATTCTCAGTGTAAAACAGCCATCCTTATAGTCTTGATGGGACTGTCCCCCGCGGGAGCATATTACTGCTTCATACCATTGGATTTCTCTCAAAAAAGATCGATGCACTAAACGACTTGCCTTATTCTCGCTTTATATTACATGGCAACCGACCACTTCAACAGAATTCAATAAAAATGCTAGTCTTCAATACTTGATGATTGGATTGTACCTTGATTCAAATTAAAAGGGGGCACAGAGTGCTGATTGAGTGATAATGCTAGCAGTAATTGATCAAAGAAAAACTACCTATTGTTTTAATAAACCACTGTAATTAAAATCAGTTTATTATATATTTATAGTGTGGAAAAAAAAGGAGATAAGAGGTAAAGAAAAGAAAAATTGTAGATTTATTAAGTACTTTCCTCGAGAGTTTCGAGAAGTTCCCAATCACCCTTTGAAGATTCCTTCCACAAAGTCACCTTGTTATCGCCACAAGAGACGGCCAAAACGTTACCAGACAATGACCAACTTACGCGCCAAACAACATCAGGGAATTTTTCACCCAAAATTTTGTGAGTCCATTCTGCTTTGGGATGTTCCTGTGTCCAGATCAAAACAGATTTGTCTTGAGAGCAACTTGCTAAATAACTCTTGGGGAGTCCGACATTAGGCGCCCAAGCTACATCGCGAACCCAATCAGAATGTCCGTCCAATGTTTCCTCCTCTTGCCAAGATTTAGAATCATCCCTAAAATAATTGCTTAACTTCTCTCTCTTTCTCTCTTTCTCTGTTTTCCCCTTACTTGTAACCCCAAATCTTGATTAAATTATCACAACCTGCAGAAACAATCTTCTTTATAACATTAACGTTGGGGTTACCGCCATTAGTTTGAACCAAACTACCGGGAATGGCAGCAGGTGCCCATGTAACTGCATTACAGCCAATACCATGTGCATCGATCAACTGTGTTTCCCAAGATCCATCATCTTTTTTCTTTATAGTTTAGTTTTTTTTTTCTGTTGTATTTTTTTCTGTATCCTTTTTGCTTTTATTACCTTTATATTCAAGAATAGAGATCTTACCATCAGAAGAAGCACAAGCCAAAATAGCACCAAGTTCATGAGGTGCCCAAGCAACAGAGTTGACTAAAATTTTCGAGCTTTTTTAATGATACAGCCCAGCCATTGCTGAATATTTTTTTCATATTTTACCTGAAGCAGTGTGTTTGTTGCTTTCATGAATTTTCGACCAGGTACCGTTTTGTTCCTTAAAAATAAGAACACGGCCATCATAGGCACAAGATGCCAAGATGGTGCCGAATTTAGGGTGAGCCCATGCCACTTGCCAAACGGGAGCTGTATTGCTAAACGGTAGGTACAAAAGTTAGTATATGTATACATATTTTTTTTTGGGAAGGCACACATAATAATAACAAAAACTCACTCTGTGATAGTATGAGTTAAAGTTTGATTATCGCCATCAACGTTGAAAATCTTGATGGTGTGATCAGATGAAGCTGTAGCTAAACGGCGAGAATAATAGTCGAGCTGAGCATCGTGCTATTCAGATGTCAAAAAAAAGACGTTATTGTTTGTTTCATCTTGTTTAAATTACGCGCTTTTATAAAGACTTACAATCATATCCTCATGATTTGTTTCAATAGTTTGTAACTCTTTTTGCGACTACATGTAAAAAAAAAAAAAAATGTCAATGAGGAATTGGATTTTTCGAAGGTTTACTGTCTGCGTTGTTCAACTGTCTTCCTCTTACCATGGTTGCTATTATCTCTATAATAAAAAGAAAAGGTGACGATAGAAAGAAACCAGACAAAAAAAAAAAAAAACTCAATCAATTGAAATTATACCTATTTAAACTTCAGCTCTGACGTGGAGTTTCTACACTCGATTTGGTCTGTGTGTCTTGTGTGCATAAAAATTCATCCTTCCTTTGTTACTAATTTGGATAATTGTGGTCTTGTGATGATGACACATATAAGAGTGTTGCAGCCATAATACAGGATCATGTATATCTTGAACTCAATTGACATATTCGGTGTGCCTGAAATTTTCTAGATTATTACGTGCACGTTTCCTGCAGTGGAATAGCTCTCGAAACAAGACAATCAAACATATTTATCTCTATTGTATGTTAAAATTTATAGTATATTTATTGTGTCTTGTAGGTGCTTCATTGTGCAGATATTATTCACGTTTACGAATTTTACCTTTCTAAACAAAATATCTGTAGCACCCGCATTGTAATAAGTGGAAATGAGTTTATTAAACGACTTTGATTGCTCAAGGGTTGTATCTTGCTTTTAGTTATTGATAAATTATTCTCTTAGTAACTGCATCCTCATACAGTTGCTTGTATTCTTATTGATTAGAAAGTACTGGAATAAGCTGTCCCTTAATGGCTTCCCTCAAACTAACGATTAAAGAGAAAAATTACTGACAATAAAATAATGCTACCTTTTTCCTTTGGATTAAACAATAAACATAGAGTTTCTTGTATGAAACAATCAGTGTCGCGATAACTGGTCTAGAGGTAAATTAAACCAAGTCCTCAAGGTGTACATTGGCGGAATTCGTTGATTCAACTTGGCAGAGCAGAGAAAGATATTAATTCATCTTCGACATGTCAATATACTGTGGATCTTCTTGTTCAGGGATACGCGTAAAATTTCCAAAAATGTTTAACCAACCTATCCTGCATACCAAGCATTAGCAAAGTTGTTGGCGGCAGTTCAGTGTAACGTCAATGATTGGCTGTAATCAGTTTGCACTAAAGCCCAGTGTAAACCTATTTTATTTTTATTTTATTTTTTGGCTGAGAAAATAGGAATTCTTTTCGATTTTAAAACCATGTCAGATTCAACATTTGAAGCCTTAGCAAATATACCTGGCCATCTTAGTTCTTTTGCTGCTTCAGCACAAGACGGAAAAGTGGTTCAAGTAAGAGGGAAAAAAAATACGAGATTCAGACCATAGTAAATAATGAGTCTTACATAGTCATCCGAGGGTTCAACAAATACAGAAAAAACAAGCTTGGCTGCATATCAATTGTTGGGTGACGCTACGATATTAGCCAAGTTGACACCTGAACTCCAACAAGATAAACTAAAAAGGATTACAGGTAAGGATGCAAGCACATTGATACGAATTTTGTTCAAGCTTTTAATTTTTGCTTTTATTTAGTGACGTTTCCTTCACAGTATCATGTATTTACAGTATCGGATGATACAATTTATGGCATTGAAAGGACCAACAATGTATCAGCACAATGAAGAGTGTTGAATTCCCGCTTGAAAGCATTTTTGATTCTATAAAAAATAAATTTTCACAATTTTTTTATATTTTCTTTCACCTTTTTTTTTTTTCTTCAATCAAAAAAATGTACGATGATTCACCCAGACCGATAAATGATGAAAACGAACCAGATACCCGGATTTGCTGTTGCCATTCAGATTCACCATGGTATTCAAAATTCTGGCCAGTGATATTCCTATTTTCAATCTTGACTGATTATCCTATGCCGTTACCCAAAGGCAAAAAACCCGGTCAGCATAGAGACTGGGGATTATTGCCCATAGTTATGGTTTGTGGGTTAGCTAGTTTTGTTTATTATGGATATACCTCACGGATTGTTTGTAAGTTTTTTTTTATTGAGCTGTTCATTGTAATAAGTTATTTAATTGTGAATACCTTAAAAGTCGTCTTGTTATGGGATCTCAATCATCGATCCCAAGCCATCGTATACCTGGCTATCTTTACCTTTTTTTTTACATTGTTTCTTGTTTCCTATGCTAGAATCGTATCACAAAAACCAGGTCACCCAAATGCTACACAAATGAAACCATTTTCGATTTTAGGAGAATCAAAGTGGTGTGACGTATGTCAACTATGGAAGCCAGATCGGACTCATCACTGTCGTGTATGTGGTGCTTGTGTCTTAAAAATGGATCAGTAAGTGTTTCCTTGCTGTAAAAGGTTATTTTTTTTGACATTAACTTTTTATATAGCCATTGTCCATGGTAAGAAATATAACAGGAAATAGAAGGATGCACATTAATTGGGAAAACTATAAAAAATAAGGGTCAATGGGTGTGTAGGTATTTCAAATTATCGTTTCTATGTCCAATTCTTATGCTATGTCACACTACTCGGTACTTGGATATTTACAACTTCATTAGTTGCATTTATTCAATTCAATGGCCTAGTAAGTGATGATTTTTGATGTCAAATATAGCAACACATAGTAATCACAACATTTTTTTTTTTAAAAAGAGCACATTTGATGGGATGGCGCTATCAATTTTGATAATGTAAGTAATTGTATTCGAGTACTTGAAAAATATGCTAATTGTGGACATAGTGGAGGAATCATTACGTTCATTCTCGGTGCATTTACCATGTCTCACCTCTGGCTTATTTTGAAGAATCAAACCACCATTGAAAATTCCCAGTTTCAGAAATGGAAAAGAGAGAAACTATCTGGAAATACACGATTGATACCAATGTTTACAGAGAGTGGAAAAAATGTGTTTGATCGGGGCTACCGACAGAATTGGCTGGAAGTGATGGGCAGTAACAGATTACTATGGTTTTGTAAAATGTCAATATCTAAATTTGTTGTACAACTTGTCACTAACTCCGCTTCATCTAGTACCACTCATGTCGAAACAAGGTACTGATGGTGTACATTTTGGCCACAATAGCCAAACTCTAAAAGAGTATCAAGATGAAGATGGGTCACGAAGAATAAAGGCCCAAATGAGCGCTAAATAAATTTATGGTGCTTATAAAGTAAATAAATTTTCTTTTTCTCTCTTCTTTTACTTCTTTATTATATTTTATTTTTTTCTTTTAAAATGTCTTCTCCAGCATCTAGCCAACATTCAAACGACGGTTTACCTTCTATTCCCGGTTGCGATACTATCATTGACCTTGCGTAGGTGAAAACTCTATATAATATTCTAATAGTATTAACTAGTTTCTTTAGCGTGCTTAAAGGTGAAGCCTTGAAAGCCAAGGTTTTAAAGTTAGTTCAAGTGCTTTTCCCTGAATGGGCAGAAGGTGTTGAATCAATTCAAATTGATCGTGTCAGTGGAGCCCTGACAAAGTAAGTTGGTATTATTTTTACCCATGCTTGGCCCTTATTCTCCTTTCTTATTTAGTGCCGTCTTTTTTGTGAATGCACCCAATAAAAGTCGATTGCTGTTACGAGTGTATGGTAATGGCGTAGATCAGATCATTGACCGAGAAAATGAGCTCTCTTGGCTTGCTCGTTTATCAAGCTTAAATATTGGACCCAGCCTCTTGGGCGTGTTCGGTAATGGACGTTTTGAACAATATTTACCTTCGACCACATTAACACATGAGGATATGTGTACTCCCGAGACATCACAATGCATCGCCTCATGTCTTCGTGAACTTCATGACATTGTAACAGTCTATCCCTTCGACCCTACCAAGGATCATTTAGAAGTGTGGTCAAATATCGAAAAATGGTACAAGGTTGTGATGACTCTCTTGCCAAATTTGATGAAGAAAAGTGATGGATGGGCCAAGATTTTGAAGGTGTATAATTTAGAACGTTTACCGTTTCAGATTGAAGAGTGTAAAAATATTTTACAAAAAGTGGATTCACCTATTGTTTTTGCACATAATGATGTAAGTTCTTTTGCTTTAGGATAATGCAATGCGTGCAAGGGCACTAACAATAGATCATTAGACACAATATGGTAACGTGCTTCAACTGGAAAACACAAATGAATTAGTAGTGGTAGATTTTGAATATGCAGGATATAACCCACGTGGATTTGATTTAGCTAATCACATGTGTGAATGGGCCTACAATTATCATTCTGATCAACCTGCTGCCATGAATATGTCTTTATTCCCTACTTATGAAGAACAAATTCGTTTCTTAAAAGCCTATCTCGAAACTCCTTCTAAATTCGATAATCCTGCTATTAATGGCGTTACACCAGAATCTTTACAGAAAGAATGTACCATGTGGCTGATGGCCAGTCATTTATCTTGGGGATTATGGGGCTTAATTCAAGCAAATCAGAGTGAAATTGATTTTGACTACTTTTTATTTTCTACGCAACGTTTAAATGCATTCCGCGAAGAGTTTGCAAAGTGGAGTTCATGAAAAGCGAAAAGAAAACAAAAAAGTATTACGCCCTTAAAAAATAATGCCATAGAATAAATGTTGTAAATAAAATTCATTTTTTTTTTCTTTTTTTTTTACAACTTCTTTTGTAATTTTGCTCTCTTATTATCATACTCCTCTTTGACTTCACGCTTCACAGAACCACTGATTTTCTTTTTAGATTTGCTCTTCGTTGATTTCTGACTAGAGGAAAATAAACTAGACGCAGACGAAAATCCTCCCATCGCAGATAAATCCGCCCTGCTTCCATGCACACCAAATCGAATATCGATACCATTGGATTGCGATCTAGATGCCTTTTTCTGTTGTGAGCTTATACCACCAGCATCAATATCTTCATCTGGAATGGGTCTATTAATAGTTGTGGCTAGCATACTTCGTAAAGAAGCATTCCAATCGGGTGGTGAAGTTGTGTATACATCTTTTTCCATTCCAGATAGAAAACGGGAAGGCGTTTGCGTTCTTCTTTGACCCCAATCATCTCTTTGTTTCAGTGATATGCAATAGAGCAGGACTAAATAACAGCTTAAATACTAGTAAACTATAATCATTTGATTAAACTTACATTTGGAACGGGTCATTGCCACATACAATAAACGACTACAAAGTTGATTAGAAGGGTTTAAATCAAATCCAAACCAAAGATATATATTCACCCTTCCTCTTCGATATCATCACATCGAGAATGTGGAATCACACCTTCATTGCAAGTAGCAATAAACACGCAAGGCCATTCAAGACCTTTCATGTTTGTTTGGTTAGCATATCAGGCACTGCTTACAAGTCATCTTTATCTTACCCTTAGCAGAATGGATGGTTGCGATTGTGACCTTCTAAATAGTTGGAAGACGAGAAAATCAATACAACATCTAACATCACATTATTTAATACTCACACCACCTTCAGCTTCCTCCAACTCCTTTTGATTGGAACAAAGAGCACAGTATTCTAAAAATTCGGTGACAGGGTCTGCCTTATAATGGAAGTACTCCTCACCATCAGGCCCTAAGTCATCATCTGGACCGAAATCGTCTAAGCTATATTCCTGTGGTTCTGGTTTAACAGAAGGCTCTGGTTTAACAGTAGGCTCTGGTTTAACAGTAGGCTCTGGTTTAACAGTAGGCTCTGGTTTAACAGTAGGCTCTGGTTTAACAGTGAATTCTGATTTAATAGAAGGTTCTGATATAATGCTCGGCTCTGATTTGACACCAGGTTCTGGTTTGACACCCGTTTCTTTCTCCATCCTATTCAATTGTATAAGTTACAGAACTAAATCAATTTGACAAAGTTATACCCATTCTGCATGGTCTCGTCCACAGGTTTAACCGCTGTCGTATTTTCAGTGTCCTCTTCATAATGGTCGTTGTGTAAAGCAGCATCTTCTGTAGTCTTTTTGGCGATCGATAAAAGTTCACCCAAATTTTGCCATCTAGATTCATAGTCTTGAAAGTAATGATCTTTTAAATACTTTTCATACTCTGTAGCTTCATAAATATAACTTAAAATATCCGTCACTTCTTTCTATATATATGTATATAATAGGGTTCCATTAGCCCCTGTTTTACAAGCTACCATTTAGACTCTTACCTTATTTTCAATCATATCACGAATATGGGTACAAATCATTACGAATTGTCTAATTTTGCCAACCATTTGTGGAGGGACTTTTATGTCACAGCTGCCATGCCCAATTTCTCGAAGTGAATCAAGCAAAGTGCCGTTATTATCCATATCAAATGTTAGAATCCTCTTAAGCCAGACTTCGCCGATACCTCTTTTAGGCACATTGATGATACGTGTGAATGCTGAGATGTTCTTTGGGTTGTAAGCAAAGGATAAATAGCATGTCATATCCTTGACTTCAACACGATCAAAGAAACGATCGCCACCGACCTACGTTATATGAGTAACCGAACTTATTGTTTCCCTTCTTCCCCCAAACCATGTGATACTTGCCATCGTAAAAGGAATCTTGCTTAGTCGGAAAGCACTTTCAAATTGTTGCGAAATAAAATTCATGCGCATAAGAATCGCGATATCCTTGTATTGAATAAGTCCCTTGGAATATACAATGGCTTTCTTAATTTCGGCGGCCACGAAATCAGCTTGAGATTTTGGATCCTGAGTTGTGATTAAGGAAATGGGGATGCCTTCCGGGTTATTTGTATAAAGTAACTTGTCGATTCGTTGCTCATCTAATGTGTGTGCATTGTTTAAAAACATAGTATCCTTCATGTAGATATAAAAGTATACACTACCTTGTTTAATGACATGTAAAGCGGACTTGATTACCTTTCCTGTACTACGGTAGTTTTGCTCCATCTTGATGGAACGGGTGCCATCAAATTCTTCCTCCATCTTTCCAAAATTCTTGGGCTCAGCACTACGCCAGCCAAAAATGGATTGATCTGGGTCACCGACAATAGTAACACTTTTCTTATTGACTTGCTTCATCATGAGTTTAATCAAATCGTACTGAACAATATTGGTGTCTTGATACTATCATATGCATGATTAAAAATTCATCTCATTCACAAATACCATTATTGAATTATTTTACCTCATCGACTAAAATACTCTTGATATTAGAAAGAACATTTTTCTTTCTTTTTAGTAAAGCACAACATTTCAATAGCAAGTTATCATAATCCTAATATATCCCAGATTACTATATGGCTCCTTCAGCCCTGTTTTGTGTAAGTGTCATTCTTACCAACATATTTTGTCTTTTCAACTCTTCCTCGTAGGCCATGAAGACAACTGCGATGTATCTAGTTTTATATTCTTTGCCATATAACTCCTTGTACATGTGTTCGTCTTCTCCCTTACTTTTTGCTTTACTGATAATACCCAATAATGCGCCTATTTTATAACTTCAGTTTTCATTGGAAGGGTTGTAATTGCCTTTCTTACCGGGTGTCAGCGTTTTTCTGGTGAATTCATCGATATTTATATTTTTATCTCCCTGAATTGTTTTGATAATAGTCTTGCTAATAAATAAACGTTCAGTTTTTTGACAGTTCAAGAGAAACATTCTAATGCAACTTACCTTTGGTCAGGATCGCAAATGCTGAAACTGGGGTCTATTCCAGCATAATGACCGTAATGGTGTAAAAGTCTAGAACATATAGCATGAAAAGTACCAATGAGCAATCGATTTGTTTTGTTGGCACCGATTAACTTGAACAGACGTGTCTTCATTTCATTTGCTGCCTTATTAGTAAATGTAACGACAATAATTTGGTTTGGCTCGAACCCTTTTTCGATGACAAGGTAGGCGACCCGATACGTCAACACTATAGGGTTTCAGTTTACATATACATATCTGTGAACTGTTTTTGACAAATTTACCCCTTGTTTTGCCAGATCCGGGTCCAGCCAATATTTGTAAGGAGTCGGCATTGGATAAGACTGAATCACGTTGTGTTGGATTCAGAGACTCCAAGGCTGTTTGGAACTTTTCCTTCTCATTCGACATTTTCGAATTGTTTTCGTACAAGTTAGGCAAAAAGAAGAACTGGCACTTTTTTTAACTTATTTGATCTTGGTGCACACACAAACTCCGTTCTCAATTAAAATACCACTTGTCGCGCTGTTAATTTATATAAAAAATGATTATCCTCATCCTTGGATCATCGACTCAAAGACTCAACAATGTAGACTGATAATTAATCTTTAAATATGGTGTTTCATGGAAAGTAATTCTGCTTATTTACTATTTGGCATCAGATAGTTTGACCGGATTTAAAAAAACAAATTCTTACCCTGCTTCTACTCTTTTAAACTTGTTTTTAGGATCGGTTGTATTGCATTAGGCACAACTGTTAGTACAAAGCACATGGTATTTTAAAGTAATGCTTTATAGATAACAGTAATGCTGTCTCGACTATTAAATTGAACATTAAATACTTACAAGTGATACGAATATGAAAATTTTTCATAATTTTGACTCAAAAAAAAAAAGAGAGCTAAACAAGATTTTAATAATTGAATGTGCCCACTCTATGTTCACTTAAAAAAGTGAAGGGGGAAATAAATAATTATGTTACAAAACTACGGAGTATACAATTAAGGAGAGAGCAAGAAATCTATCCTTATCTCTCAAAACTTTTAACAATGTCTTCAAGTGATCGGCCTTTTGTCTCTGGTACCTTAAAATAAGTAAACACTAAAGCAAGAGCGGCAACGCCAGCAAAAATAGCAAAAGAGTAGCCCTTGATATTATCAAAAATGATAGGAAAGCATTGACCGATCAAAAAATTGGTAGCCCAATTCATTGCCGTTGCAATCGATCCCACTGCCGAGGAAGCATACACAGGTGTTAACTCGGACGTCATCATCCAGGGAATAGGCCCAATACCAATAGCAAAGGATAAGACATACCCAAAGACGGAGAAAACCAAAAGAGAGCCAATATTATAGACATAACCTAGAATTAATAAAATTGAGAAAATACAGGCTCCCCCTTCAGCGATAAGCAGAAGAGGACGACGGCCCATACGATCAATTAAGACCAGTGAGACAATAGTGGATACAAAGTTAACAACAGTGGTTACAATGGCCATGTACTTTGACATTTCTGCGGAAAACGACATTTTGAAGATAGTTGTGGAGTAGTACATGACGGCATTCATACCAATTAGCTGTTGGGTGATATGCAGAGTAAGTACAGTGCCGGCAATACGACGAATAAGAGGATCTTTGAATATCTGTATCATGTTCATTGGCTCGCTCACACCATCTTCTTCAGGAGCAACACCATCTTCGAATAATGAATTTGTAAAACTGTCATTTTCAGCTTTTTCTTCCGTAGGTTTTCCTTTAGATAATGGTTGTCCATCTTTTCCAGTGATAGTCGTAGCAGCAACTGTGCCTAATTGACCTTGAACCATGTCAAAGAACTCTCTGTCAATATCAGCATTAGGCCGGAGACTTTGGAGTGCTAGTTTCGCTTCATCAATACGATTGACAGATATAAGGTAGCGAGGCGATTCAACACAACCAGCCATCAGGAAGAATTGAGCAACAGCAGGAATAGCAACAATAGCGTAATTAATTCTCCAAAGGGGAACTACAGCAAGCGGGAGACCGACTACGGAAGCCAATAAAATACCAATCACAATAGCAAATTGGTTTATAGTGCCCATAGTACCACGGGCTTTAATTGTAGAGATCTCGCCGACATAAGTAGGAGTCACCAGAGATCCAAGACCGCATGAAAGACCACAGGAGATTCGACCCACAATAAACATGGCAGGTGTGACAGAGCAACCGATTAGGAGAGCACCTATAATCCAACCAATGTTGTTAAAAATGATGGTTTTTTTACGACCGAATTTCGTTTGAATAAAACCACCAAATAGACCACCTATCAAACCGCCGACACAAAATGAAGATACTGCAAAACCCCAAAGGGCATTACTCATTGGTAAACAATCCGGAAAGGATTTGCTAGCAACATAACTAAGGCCGTTTTTACAGGCATGTGTGATTTCACCGGGAACGTTAGCAGATCCAATCACCCAACCATTACTAAATGAACCAAGACAAGATATAATGACACAATATACCATGTATCCTGGTAAATTCAATTCAAGGGAATCCATTTCTAGGAAAGTTATTTAACCGATTTTTTTTTTCAGAAATAAAAAAAAAAAAAGAAAGTGAAAGTGAACTGGAATTATGGTTTTGGTGATTGAATAAATACATGATGCATTATATATTAATTTTTCTTTGTTTTTTGGATTCACCCTATCACATTCTTTAATTAGAATTCTCTCTCAGCCCAGGAGAAAAGAAATAAAATTGGCAGTATTGCTTTTATCGGGATGTTTTGTCGCCAAAAACCATAAACTGCCCTTTCTATTGTTTTAACAAAAGATAGGGATACGTGAGTTGTATGAACAATTTTTTTTCTTGTGCTATGAGCAAAATTAAAATAATCCGTGATTCATTTAAAAAAATCGGGACTGATAATTAGCTGATACTTAAACAAAACGAAACGTGTCTAGACAACCAGACTTTGAAGAAAAAGTTCCTTTAGCAATATTTCTATCCGCTTTAGGAATATAACTTGCTTTGCGAAGCAACTAAAACATTTAATCCCTTTAGCATACAGTTATTACCCCCTTTTCAAGAAGTCCCTGACGGAACAAGCGCCCTCTCCGTATTTTGAGCGAATTTTAAACTATGGTAAATTACAACGATTTTAAAACTTTCAGGTTTTTCAAAAAAAAAAAAAAAAAAGAAAGTGCCTTATCGAAATTTTTTTGTTGCAGAAATACGCATACAAACAAGTATTTAATGCTGTTGTTCATTAGATTTTTTCTATGTGCTCATGACCATACCTCCTAGAAGAAACTCACTTTTAGGGTGGAAAGACTGTGGCGGGAGTTTTTAAACCACTTGTTTAGAGTTGGCGTTTTATAAAAGTTGCTACTCAAACTTTGAGAAAAAGAAGCTATTCAAATAGCTGAAGGAAGTATGCTACAAAAGAAAAACAGCTGTCCAACCTGATATAAAGCCCATTTTATCATTAATTCGATTAAAAAACTGCCTTTTTTATGTTTTATCCGAATTGTGCTCGTCTCTTAAACTCTCTTGTTCAAATGCATTTTTTTAAAATTTGAATTGCAGACAAGTGATGAATCGGGAAATTTGACCAAACTCAAAATAAAAAATTCACGCTGCTTATTAACAAAGATTATTGTTTTTTTTTATTCGTGACGTTCCTAAAATATAATGCACTTATGCACAACACAAAATATGGTTTATCACTTCACATTCTTCGCTTTTTTTGGTCCCCCGAAATGTATCAAAAATCCATACTGTATTTTGCTTAAATAGATCAATGTTTATAATTGGCATTTTTGAAAGAACTAACATTGTCACATATAATTCTTAAAAAACTTTGTACAATTTCGTCTATTTATTTTGGTTATATCGTATGACTGGATCAACACGCTTGGGAGTATAAGACTATTCCGAATAACCAATCTCTTTTTTGGTTAACTTGATATCCATAGCACCTATCAAGTCGTAAAGCTGCTTGATTTTTGATACACCCACTACTGGAGACAAAATAAGGCTTTGTAAAATGCCACGCCAAAGCAATCTGAGCACTTGTGGCATTAAGATTTTTGCGACTACTTGAACTCGGTCAATAATAGTTTCGTTGCAGTCCTGATTAGCCTCAGGATATATTCTTGTTGTAACAAATATTGCATCTGAACGAGTAGTAGTCCTGCTTTTTCCGGTGAGTTTGCCTCCGCCGAAATGGGAGTGAGGCATTCCTGATATACCAACATCCAGGCAATAAGGCTTGATTTCTCGCTCTTCCTCGCGATACAATGAATTGTACAAATGGTTCATGGGCACAAATTTAGCCCAACCTTTACGTTCAGCGATTGCATTTAGCTTATGAAATTTCCAGGCAGGCATACAGCTAGCCCATATGTAACTGTTACTTGGGTATAAATATCTCGCTCAAATTCTTAACAGAACAATTTTTTTCCCAGTATGTAAATGTATACTCACCATACAATGAACCAATAGTCTAGACAGTGTGTTCCTCAAACTGACTCTATTTTGACCTTTAAACAGATTTAAGTACTCTGAAAAGTTTTGATAAACCAACAGTATAATTTTCCAGAAACGGTCATCAAGACTACTTGTTTTTTTTTCAAGCCGGGTATGCTTCAAATTAATAAATTCAATTTGATTAGCAGAACGGTACACAATACAATTTTAGGTGCGTATAAGTGCAAAATGGGAATATGTTTAAATCAACGGATATTAAAACCACGTGGAAGCACGTGCAATTTAAAACGTATTTAGTATAGCTGTTTATTAAATAAAAGATATTATGCTTAATAGATATGTAGGATTGTAATAAGGAAAGTGTAAAGTATTGAGTATAGTGATGAGTATATAATGATAGTTATTGGATTATTTAATATGTTAGTGTCCAAATGCAGCAATGCTTCCATCATTTGATCGACTTGAATCTGTTGGATCAGGTATAACTGTCGTCATTAAATTTTTGGAAGATACAGACTTTGGAATTATTGGATTTGTTTCTTGTGGAGGAGTAAAACCCAGAAGATTTGAACTGTGATGAATAGGCAATAGCAAAGTAATTCTCTTTGCAGCCCAAAGAGATATGTTAAGTGGGAGCAGTACCAGGCTAACAACTAGACCATGTGCTTGCTGACGTTGATCTTGTTCAATCCTATAGCAGATATATTGATCAAATTCACGAACTTTTAAATCCAATGCTGTAAATTGTTCTTCAGTCCATGATCTTAATGATATGTCACGTTTTTCGAATCGTTTTAGTGCCTTTGCTAGCTGATGTAACGTAGGATTGATCTCTTCAGTAACTTGTCCCAAATCTTTTTTTGTAACAAACGCTTTGCGAAGTCCAAACAGCTCTTTTTCTAAAGTATCTAACCTTGTCTGCAATACTTGAACTTGAGTGTCTGTAACTATGGCTTCACTTTGAAGAAACAAAGTACGTTCTTGCAATAAAGCCATGATGTGTGATACTGGTTTTATAGATGCAGCTAATATGAAGACAGTAACATTAAAGGCACTAATGTATTTATCAACGTTGCTAAGTAGATATCTGCTATATTGTAATGTGTAACCTGCAATGGCTGGTGATACTGTAACCCAAATTAGACCAGCTAGTTCGTGGCGACGGAGTTCTGCAGTTATTAATTTTCTTTTAGAATGCTCTGCTTGCATACGTTTGGAATAAGCATCGTCTTGCTTTGTATTTGCAAGCCCTGCTTGTTTCATTTCTGTGGAGGATTGGTGATGTATAACTCTTCGGGTTCGAGCGCTTTCGTAATAAGCCCATGGAACTTAATAAATCCGTTAGTCCTGTGAAATAATTGTTGGTTTATTTATTTTGTTACCGGTCATCCATTTATAAACATAGTATAGAATTAACATTAGCATGAGGAAATCACTCCAAATCTCAGCACTTCCTGCAACAAAAGCGCCTAGTGTGGGAATAACAGCAAGTAAGATTGGCCATGATACAGCAGGCGAGAACTCTTCGATATTATCGGTGGCATTTGAATTTGCTTTAGCTTGTTGTGGTTGTCTTTTAGATTGTTGGTAATGTCTTGTGAAGACATTATCCCCATCATTTTCTGATAGTGACATAGTTTTTTTTATAGAAAAGAAAGGAGAAAGAAAGGAAAGTATAATGTGAAATTCTATGGGAAATTCAATCAGTATTTATAATTTATCTTAGTTTTTGTTATTATCAGCTGAAAGTAGTGGTACAAGGATTGCTTTCACGGATTCAAGGGCTCTGTTACAGTGAAAATCAAATAGAATTGGAATTCTTGCACTGCCGTCCCGTTTAGGATTAGACCCTGATATTTAATGTAACATATACTCAAAAGAAGAAGTCAACCAATTGATCGAGAACAATGTAAAATATACATTTTCCAAAAAAATATAATGAAAAATTAAGATCCATAACTGCAGAAGATATCACGACTTGGGATTATTTAATACTTTAGATTTTTAATCAATGCCAGATCAGAATATTCGAAGAAAGAGTTGTCTTGGTTTATATAATCCTGAGGCGCCTTTAAATTTTTCTCTGCTTGGTTCCATTATCCAAATAATAAAAAAAGAAACGACCACAGGATAAACCATACATACCCTCCAATATTAGGAATTAGAGAGTTTTTAATATGTTTGGAGCGGTCAGGAACATATTGTTATTGCTACTAACTTAAACAGCATATTCAATCTAATATCTAGAAAAATTGATCTGGATTAGTATTTCTTTCAAACCTCATTCACAATTGAGTTGTTTGCCATTTTTGATTTTTTTATGTTTTCTGCCTGACAACTACGAATTGACTATTTCACATTTTCCGCTTCTTTGAATATGTGGTTACATAAATGTAACAGTGATTGAAAGGACTAGAGGTAAATGTAAATCACAGTAATAACCCAAAAAAAACAAAACAAAAAAAGATCGCGTCACTCTAAAAAAAGACATTGTCGAAAACGGCATGAAGAATGACAATGCTGCAGCCAATAATAATATGATTTGTTGTTACACAGGATAGGATCTTTCCTATAAATACTCTTCTCTTTTTCTTTTAAATAAATATTATTTAGTTTTATCTTCACCTAAATTTCAGATTAATCTTGTAATGGACACTAAGTAGTATTTCCTCGGCTTTTTGTTGCTGTTTGTAGTTTTTTGTAAGTAGTACAATCACTACATCTCCTTGTAGAAACCCGTCGCAAGCTCTTCACTCTTTACATCTAAGAACTATATTCTCTTCTCATCTCTTACTGTATTATTATCGATTTACATCCATTTGTCGTATCCATATATTTTTTCGTCTAAGATCACATCAGAAATTTTCTTAATAAATAATAAAACTAAGCATACTACTAAAAGTCCGGTGCTCACATCACAAATCAGATACGTCAACAAGTTTTCCTTTTGATTTCACTTGGCTTTTTTCTTACATGCCGTCGCCGAAAAATATCAAAGGCACGCTTGTCTTATCTTTTTTGACACAATGCCTCGTGTGCAAGATTCGGAGATACAAGGAGTTTAACATAGATAATACAATGAAATATATCTGCTGGAAGGTAAGGCTTTCTCAAATTAACCTGTTGATCGTTTTTTTTTCTTTTTTTTTGGTGGGATCTAGTTTTATAACCTTTTCTTGCATTGCCCTTTGTACAGCTATTTATTAAAATGTTGATGATCTCATCCAAGGCACATTGTGGTCCACAATAATTATTCTATCTTATAGAAGCAGTTCGAAAGCTGCAGAAATTGAAAAAAATGTGGCCAACATTATTTTCGTGATCCATTTAATAAGCGCCATTTTGTACTTGGGTTCCGGAGAAGTGAAACAAGCAATAAAGTGGCTGTTCCGGTGTGCTGGATGTATGCTTTTATAGTACTGTAGTATATGCTTTATTAGGCTCAAACAGATAACGGATTGCTAATCACCACCGCCCTTGAATAAGGTAAGTTAAGTATTCTATTTTTGATGGGTTAAATCTCGCTATTTAAAAACTGTTGTAAAAAACCCTCAGAAAAATCAGATCTAGTGTCGTTCTTCAATAACTCGTACAAGATGTAACCGTAAACGATCTTCTTTATGGTTGGAATATTCATGTTTCAGTAAAAAATTTCTAAAGGTTAGCAGATGAGATAAATTGTTCTATATTAATTAGCTACTTACAGGCTATGTAATCTTGAACTTAAACAAAAACGTTTCTAATATAGTTTTAATAGTTTTCAACGTAAAAGTTTTTGTATGTACTCACTACAGATTCACAAGAGAATGCTACTATCTGATCATAACCAACTAAATCACCCTTGTCAACGAGAATATTGGCATTTTCTAAACTTTGTAGACGGTTAAAAACTGATTCGATGTTGAGAAGGGATGAGTAGAAGTTTTGAAGCCGGTGAATATTGATGTTGCCGTATAAAAATCTACATGTTCAGTAGCAAAAGAGATTATAGTAAACATGCTTAGATATATGTTCCACGTTATTTGAGTGCTTCAAAATATTATACTTGTAAATATTTGGGCCTTGTATATAATCTCTCGTAGAAAAGTAGAAAGCCTAATAATTGTAATTGTTGGTATCGTTGTATTATGTACGGGTCTTTTTAAAAGGGCCTGAGAAATAATTCAAGGGTCAACAAGACTATATATCCATGGTAAAAAACAGTTAACGGTCTCTGCAAAAGCCCCTTCATATTAAATTCACAATTTGGGCAATCGCAAGAAGTAGCACGCGAGGGATTTAACTGCGCACAAAATGAGCATACTGGAGCATATTTCGACGAAGTTGCCTGTGCTTTTTCTTGCTTCTCCTCCATTCATCTTTTATTTTTTTACCTGATAAGTTGTTAGTTTTGTTAAATCCACATAGCCACTACATACCTTCTTGTTTTGCTGGACCACGACTATTTTTTTTTGCTCCACTTCCTCCGAATGTCTAATCTCTTTTATCAAGAATATACTCTTCTACCAGAGGATACAATATTGGACGTATTTTGTTTTGAAATCAAAAAAAAAAGAATTAGGTGTTCTAAATCTGTAGATTTTTTTCATTATTTCATAAAAAGATAAACCATTTTTTGTTAATTAATCATGATAGATCACTGTACCGGCAACTCAATATTGTACATGGGAATAACAAAGAACAGATCAAATTAGTTTATGTAAGAGCGGTCATAGGCAAACACTGATCAGGCATGCTGACCACAAATTTTCAAAGACATTGAAGCCATTTTATTATTATTCCTGTTAACATGCAATGTCGCTTACCTAATCACTTTTTTAAAAGGGGCAAATTATTTCCAATTGGGCTTAAAGTGGAACTTTGAGCTAGCCAATACACAAAACACAAATACCGATCTTCCCTTTCCACAACTTTGTGTATCCATTAGCATGGCGAGAAGCGTGATCTTAGAAGGTAGAGTCCTACTGATAAATGACTAATGTATGGAAAAATGATTTTTCATTTGTTAAATATATACAAAGTCATATAAAATCTATGAAACACAAGTAAAAGATCTTTCTTAGGTTGTTTAAAAGATCTTAATCGACCGGTGTAGCCTCCTTGCAATTATTGCGAATCCTCAGTATAGTGAGGACTGCAGAATCACTTCACTATAATTGTAATTGTACTGAAATACAACCCTTACTAATATCTACATAAGAGAAGATTATTTATACACATCAAGTACTTATACATTTTGAAATGCAACAGCATGTCATTTTTTGGAACCATGAATTTTTTGAAGTCAGAGCCATTTAGGCCGGCTGATGTAGCAAGAATTGAGCTGAACTCTTGGGTTTGTTTGAAAATCATTTTCATTTGTCTGAATTTAAAGTAATTTCCATTTTAAAGTCCCCATGCTTTCAATCCAGACTGAAAAAGGAAAAAAAAATAGTGGGTAAATCAACCTTCATTAATTTTTGTCTCTTCTTTCACTTAATAATAAATAATATGCAAAGCGACAATGCACCGATTAAATCGAATTCCGGATTTAAGCATCTAAAACCAAGAGGGAAGAGCTCCAGTCAAGGAGCTTTGGACTCGGACACCGAAGCAGACATGAGTGATTCCGTGCTTGATTATACACTATCTAAACAAGCTTCCACTTCAGTTTTGCAAGTACCGATGCATCGCTTAGGACTTTCTGTTTCTCATCCCAACCTACTTGTGAAAAATGATCTAGACATTTCCAGACTTCGTACACCTACCCCACCTTCAACGCCGCCTACAGGTCTTGATATTACCGAAAATGAAAAGGACAAGTATTTGACTTTAGAACCAAACGACTTGACAAACTTCAGAAAGTGGATTGTAGGATTCTGTATCGTAAATTTTGATCTGGAGATAGGACAAGGTAATTTTTAGAATTATCATTATTATTTGATCCCTAACAATTTTTCCCCCTTTATTTATTATTTTATTTATTAAAATAGCTTTAGATTATGCCTATCCTCCAATGGATCTAACCTCAATTGAACAAAAGAATATGTAAGCTCGCACGCCTATTACGCTCATGGTTTTTAATTTAATATTCTAGTTGTTTTTCTGCGTTTCCTGATTCAAACGTGTTTGAAGTAGGGGATCAGATATTTAATATACGTGTCAGAGCAAGCTCCTCGAAATTTGCCGTTTCTGGCCCAACCGCTGATGCTGGATTTCTATATGGATATGTGTTTTTTCGTCAAAAGAAAGATCCTCGAATTAGGCGTGGTTATTTTCAAGCAAGTAATTAGATCGATTGTTTCATGTTAATATACAACTAATACTGGCCCTATCAGAAATCCCTAGTTTTACTATCACAACATCCATACGTTGGTTTATTTTCTCGCGTCGTATCAATTCTAGGGCCTGCTTATTTTGATACGGGACAACCCATGTTGGAAGCCGCATGTATGAACATAGCCCAATGGCAGTCTCCTAGAGATGGGAAGGTACTAGATTTACCTTTTCTCGGTAAATTACTGCAAGTTGAATTGCCTACACCTTTGAAAACTCAGCTACTGGAAACAACGCCATTCGATATGAATAAATTGAAGCCAGACATACAAGTAGGACACAAAGGTCATTTAACGAAGTAATCAAGTTGACATGTCTTGTAGATTATGGCATCATTGCCTGTAGGCGGACTGTATCATCATTTTAGGGACATTTTAAAAGATCTGTGGTTATTATGGGAGCTCATGCTACTAGCGGAACCGATTGTAATCATTGCACCTGATCCAGGTGTTTGCAGTGAGGCTGTAGTTTCTCTCGTAGATATCATCAACCCTGTAGGTATATGGACAATCAATTAAAACTGTGTAGCTATTAATCATGCCATCTGTAGATACCCTACTGTGGCGATTACAGGCCTTACTTTACAATACAGGATTCCGATTTTAAATGTTTTGTAACTAAGAATAAGGTAAAAAAGACCTTATATATACGTCATTCCAATCAAGCCTAAGCCTAAGAATTATTTTAGCCTTTGTCCAGTCTGGTATTAGGTGTCACCAATCCATTTTTTAACACAGCAGTCGGGCACTGGCCCAATATAGTTCGTGTGGGCAGGCAGCAATTAAGGTAATTGAAAGAAATGGGTATTTGGATCAGCCGATCGAACTAAATGGATTATTGTAGGAAACCCGATGGCACACTTATTCACAGCCATACGCACCATACCCATCCAGGGAAAAATAAACCTGGGCTTGGGAATAAAACAAACGTATTGTTTAATTTTGTACAGGGAGTTACTTCGAAAAGAAAATCAGTTATATCGAGGGACCGTGAATTGGTGAAAATGTTGACAGAGGCATCGGTTCGAGGGTATCCACCTGGTAAGGATAAGCACGGTCTAGTCACTATAATGTACTAACTCATAGTAGACTGGGTGCTGAACAACATATTACGAAGACATTTTGTCGATCTAACAGAAAAGTTTCTGGTGCCATTAAATCGATATTTTAGTACACTTATCCCAATCAATATGTGAGTAAGATGTTCAATTTATTTAAATGTGTCTGACTTTGTAAAATCAGATCCGCAGATGGTCAAAAACCTCGATTAAGGCCCTTTCAAACAGACCAATTTATGAAATCCTTAAAAGAGCATGGACCGCAATTACCTTTCAAATCAACATTTAAAACACGGACGTCAGCAACTGACCCTACTAAAGAATTGTACAGTCAATTTCTGAAATGCGGTAATTTTGCCACTTGGCTTCAGCAGCGTACTAATCGAGCAGAGGAAGAAATGAATAAACGTTTTCGATCATCATAAATACAGTAATGCCTGTAAACGGATTTGAACCTAATATAATTTGTTACTGTTATACCCTTTTTTAAAAATTATTCGTGCACGTTTAGAATATAATTTCAATCAGCGATGAAGTGGACAATGGAAATATGTATCGGTTATTATTAAATAGGCATACAGCTTAAGCAAGCATAAAACCTATCATTTGAATATCTAAAATCGAATTGAAGGGTACGGATTAATGCCATATTGTATGTCTATCCAGCTCTGCCTGAGCTTGCACCAAGGCTATAATGTTTCGCCTGATTCGTCCATTTGGACGAATTTTTTAGTAAGTGTTTACCCATTTACCCAAAAAAAACGAATTGGGTAAATTTACCCATTTACTCGTTCAGACGAATTTATAGTAAGCGTTTACCCATTTACCCAAAAAAAAAAAAAAACCGGATTAAATGCATAATTAATGGGGTGTATATTTTAAAATCAGCTCTCCCTTTCAGCCTTCAGCCAAATAAAAAACTTTCAATTATACATATTGAATCATTTAATACATTCATTCGTTTGAAAAAATTGGTTTGCAGTTTTAAAAGTTGATTATATATTTTATTTAAAAGAATGAAAGTAACATTTATTTATATTTTGATACTTGAGGACAAATTGCTATGTAGAAGGATTACTACTTAAATGAGCTAAAAAGTAAACGGTACATGGCATAACATGAAGGCATTGATTATTCTGTATAGGAAGCAACGTATAATCTAAAAACAAGGGGGATAACCAAAGTTTTCTAAATGAATATTAGGTTAGTTAATGATAAGAAGACTCAAAATTGATACGTACTAATTCCTTTTCTAAACAGAGTAGCCGCCACAACGGTAAAAGCAGGAAGCGTAAGTCTGAAGAGATAATTAGAAAAAGGAAAAGCCATAAACGAAAAACACTTACTTATAGCACTGGCGTATTACACTGCAAGCACGGCCTTTATACACCTGTCTGTGCTGATTTAAAAGAGAGATAAGTAAGGGGAAGGACTTCAGAGATGGAATGATGAGTGTACCAGAGTGTAATTGCAAAAGAAGTAAGCCCAGACGTTTATTCAGTTACATGGTTAAGAGAAACAAAAACGAATAAAAGTAATTTTTTTTAAAAAAAAACTGATTTATTGAGGCAATAAGATATTAAAAAAAAAAAAATAGGAAAAAGAAAAAGGAAAAAGGAAAAAGAAAAAGAAAAGGAAAAGGAAAAGGAAAGAAAAAGACTCGGTTTATATGTACTTTTTAGAGGTTGGTGTTACGACGGAGGGATGACTGGAGGCAGATAATTTTTTTTGTATAAGCGGCTTCTTGACAACAGGACACTAAGACAGATACTCGTCTGCTTCAGGTAAATGGAATGAATGAGTAATTTTAAGGTTTGGATCTCAATTTTTATTCACCCAATCTGGGTAAGTATCCGCCCATAGACGAATGCTCGTCTGCTGCAGAAAAGTGGAACGGATGAAGTGATTTTTATTTACTCAATGTGAGTAAGTATTCGCCCATAGACGAATACTCGTCTGCTGCAGGTTAATGGAACGGATAAAAAAGTTTAAATTTTTGTGCAACCTATATATTTTACTCAAAATGAACGAACAGTTACCCCTGGACGAATATTTACCCTTTTTGAGTAAATGAAGTAATTTTATTTTTTGAGTACCATTGTTTAATTTACCCAAAATAAACGGATACTCGCTCACGGACGACTATCCGCTCAGATTTGAACGGATGCTTACCCCCAGACGACTATTCGCCCATTCGTCCGCATTT